GCCTTGGGGATCCTGATCACCCCCTGGTGGCCCTGTCAACCATGCTTCCCTACTCTTCTCTGTTTATCCGGCAGCACCTTTCTTCGCCTGCCTCTCATACCTCATCTAATAACTCAGCAATGCGGAGCTGTTTGCCACCCGGATCTTCCCTCACTCAACCTGACAGCCTGGCTCATTCGATGAACCACGGGGCCCCTTCGGTACTGACGGATTCAGGGACTCCTACACTTGGCTGCCACCATCCTGATACAGTTTCTTCTTCCCCGATACTGGTAGACTCCTCATCGGATCCGAGCGTTCTCCATCCAGATATTCAATTCATTCTTCAGTCTGCCCTGAGACCTGCAACTCGCCAATCTTATGCGGCCAAATGGAAACGCTTTGCATCCTTTGCTGAATCCAACAATTTTGCCGCTTCTTCAGCCTCTGTTGAAAATATCCTTCAATTCCTCTTGTTGGTCCATCAGTCAGGACTTAAGCCATTGTCCATTAAAGTTTATATAGCTGCAATTTCCCACTACCATGGACAAGTGCGGGGTTCTTCGGGTTTTTCTCATACCCTCATACGTCGATTCCTCAAGGGTTTACAGAACCTCCAACCACCACTTCGTCCAGTTATCCGTACTTGGAGCCTTTTGGTTGTTCTTCAAGCACTCACCCGAGCTCCCTTTGAGCCCCTGGCAACTACTGATTTATGCCTCCTGTCTTGGAAGACTGCCTTTCTTGTTGCGGTCACATCTGCCAGAAGGGCTAGTGAACTCTGCGCACTTCAGATAGATCCTCCTTACCTTAACTTTCATAAGGAGAAAGTCGTTCTCCATACTGATCTGACATTCTTGCCCAAGGTTGTATCTCCTTTTCATATTAACCAGGACATTGTGTTACCGGCCTTTTTCCCTATGCCCACTACACCAATAGAACGGTCGTTACATGCTCTCGATGTTCGTCGCTGCCTTGCCTTTTATAGGTCTCGCATGGTGTCCTTCCGTAAATCTAACCGCCTCTTTGTTAAATACTTGGACTATGATAAGGGCTCTCCTGTTGGTTCGCAGAGACTTTCAAAGTGGATTGTGCAGACCATCGAGCTAGCGTATCAACTTGCCAAGCCTGACTTACCTGTCATGCCCAGAGGGCATTCCACGAGGGCGGTAGCTGCTTCCTTGGCTTTTGCTGCTGACATTCCGATCCAGGACATTTGCAAAGCTGCCACTTGGACTACTCCTTGCACCTTTGCCAGACATTACCACCTTGATGTGCGTGCCAGATGTGCGTGCTTGATGTGGGTGCTCATTTGGCTGGGAAATCCTTTCTTCTGTTCTTCAGTGATGGCACTGCCCACCTCCAGGTCTGGTAAGCTTGCTAATCACCCATATGTGTGATGCACAGAGGCCACGACGAAGAAAGGCAGGTTGCTCACCTGTAACTGTCGTTCTTCAAGTGGCCATCTGTGCATTCACACAACCCACCCGCCAGCCCTGCTCAGTGTTGGTGATTGGGTTTATACGTACTGTTTCTCCTTGATAATGGTTTCACTGATTTTTCTCTTGGGTTCAGCAGTTCCCTGCAATATCTCTCAGTCTTCAGTAGACTGAGGAAATGGCAGGCACTCTGCCCTTTTTATACTGTGGCGGGGAGGGGCTCCTGCCAAAACTGTTAAGCTTTGAATCTTTCCGGCCATAGGCACTGCACAGGCACAGCACCCATATGTGTGATGCTCAGATGGCCACTCAAAGAATGACAGTTACAGGTGAGCAACCTGCCTTTTTTCAGGTAAACTGGAACTCTGGCAGAGAGAAAAGGTACTGGACATAAACTGCACATTGACACTTCATGTCTTCATCTGATCCCATACTAACACCTGGATGGATGAATTCCAGATTTCCACTGAATGCAACAGCATTTCTAAGGGGGCTGGGCCAATTTACAAGTGGGCTTCAGTGATGTAGCCAACACGCCAATCTTCCAGTAGGGACACAGGCATGCAAGAAACCAGCGGTAGGTGCGTGGCTGTGGAGAGGAACATGCAAGAAGAAACAGAAGATGAGTACTTTGAAGAGAGATGTGGGAGTAGAAGCAAACAGTGTTAAATCAAAAGTCCTCCTTCTAGGGTTCCAGGATCGACAAATTCTGCCTGAAATGGGTAGAATGAGTAGTGATAGTTCCAGCACCCATTTCTTCACTGAAATTGAATAAAGTGGAATTTGAACTCCCTGCCACAAGGACTTCGCTACCAATATAAAATCGTATCAGTAATTGCTATCTGATAATGCCAAGCTGCACCTCCATTCCCACCATTCTGTGACTGGATCCACCCCTGCACTACACTGCTTATTTTCAGCACAATCCGGAAAAAATGGTGTTATTATGGGCTTTCACTTGTTTGAGTGGCAAGATGCTCCAGGGTCAGTGCTACCCCTGCTTTGCTTCCTTCTGTAGTAGAAATCGTGGGAGATGCCTGTCATTTGTAAGATTGGATTTATTTACACATATGCAAGACAGTTGATAGGCGAGCACTCCTAGTGCCACTGCTGTCCTGCACCTGGTCAAATCCCCAGAGATCCTTCACAGTTGCAATGAACTCTCATCTGTCTGTTTCTGTCTTGTGTGTCCTACTTGTTGCACAAGTAAGCCTTAAGATGTGCCCTTACTTTGTGCACAGATGGTATGGGATTGAGTCACCCTCCCCAGATGGCTCTCACATTCCAGGGCTGATGAAGAAATTATTCTCTAGCATAAAAAAATCAAAAACAAAGATAGTTGTGCTGATCCACAAAATGGAAAATGTGAAGTACAATTGGGGATTCCTGATCCTAGTAAAAGTATTGCTCAATTGTGAATTTTGGAAATTCTTTCACAATTAGTTCTGATGAATATCTTGGGCTATTGGCACAGTATTTCCCCAAGAAAGGATATGGTGGCATTGTCTTCGTAACATTACAAAATCTTTTTGTAGTTGTAATCCTGCCATATGGCTCCCCTGGGCCTTCAAGATAGTTTACAACACACCAAACATAAAAATGAAACCAACATTAATCCATAATTATCACATTCACCAGAAGCAAAACAGCCCATTAAAATAACATTAAGTGAACTTCTTTCTCTCAGCAGCTGACAATAAAAAGTGCTCCCAGAAAGTTGCCAGCATAAAAAAGTTTGCCAGTGAAGAGGAACAGAAACCTTGTGGTGACCAGCTTGTGGTTCCTTCTTCCTGTTTGAAGAACTCTGAAGACAGTCAGCGTTACGTTCTGAAGATGCATGATAGAACTAAATTTTGTTTAGCTTTGAGCCACTGTAGGTGAGGTTAGCTATGAACTGAGGTGCATAAAACTGGTTTACGCTGGAACTCCCTGGATTGCACAACAGGAGCATTGTCATAGTAACGGTTGGTGCAAGGAATTGTGCCTGGCAAGGGTGATGACAAAGTTCTCCTGAGGTTCAAGGTGAAAATGTCCCAGCTATCTAACCAGACACCGTATTTTGATTGCTACAGCAATGGCCCTGAATCACAACTGTCAGGCAAACTTTCAAGCACTGTAGAAGTAGCTAACATATAGGGGAGCAATAATCTGTGGACCTATGGGTACCCTTTAGAACAATAGAAAGTAATGTAACAGTTCAGTAGATGTAAAACACAGTTTAAATTTTTTTTTCAATTAATGTTATTTAAAAGATTTCTAGATTGCCCTCCATCCAACCAGGATTTTACAGTGGTGTGTATAGCCTCCTCTGAAACTCTAATCATCTTTGTTTTCTATGGTATACTTACTAACTTTGAATTGCAAAAGCAGCACCAGCCTCACAGAATGAAGATTTCAATAACCAATAGCAGTATTTTTTAAACTTGTAGTTAATGTGAAACTGGAGAGGCTTGCAGGCTTTTTGGAAGACAGGATTACAATTCACATTAATCACAAGACTTTATACAAGGCACTAGAAAATCCCAAGATGAGAAGGCCAGAAATCAGAGGTTAGACAGAAGAGCTATTGGAAGGACCAAGGGCTCCCATTAATAAACAGCACAGCCAGAATCTGATTAAAACTATAAAGTATTTCATGAAACCAGTTCAGAAAGTGATAACTCTAATCTGCCCCCATGCCTACTTAAGTAAGGAGTGCTTATAACTGGTGCTACCAATAGCAAATCTCTTGCTACCTTAAGCTGTCATCTTATACATATTTGCCTGGAAGTAATTCTCATTGAACATGGTCAAATTTATTTCTGTGTGGACTTGCATGTGTACACTTTCCATGTGCCTTGTTTCCCAGAATATTGGCTTCTGCAGAAAAACATGGCATGCAGAGAATATACACTTTGCTTCTCAGCAGAATGGGCCTTTCCACATTCTACCAAATAGCTATGGAGACCTCACTTCTGCAGGGAAACAGGGAATGTTCCCCTTGTGCACCTGCTTTCCCAGCAGAATTGCTGGGGTTGGAATGCAGTCTTCCAGGAGGTTCTAGCAGGGGCAATGTGGCTTATCACCCCAAATTAGATTACTTGGACTGCCTGAAACAGTTGCGATACCTTACCACATAAATACCTCGGAGAACTACAATTCCTGTGACCCAATATGCTCCTAGAAAGGGGAATGTGTCCCTCAGTCCTCTGAGATAGCTCATCCTTGCTTTATTATGACCCATGCTTTCCTCTGCATTGCAAGCTGGCACCCCATGGTTTATTAACCAGACTTGCCAGTTTCACACCTGGACCACAGTCAGTATTGCTCAACATCCAATCTCTTCTTCAGCTGCCTCATTCTCCCCCATTTCCTTTCCTTGCTGCACCATGTTCCACCACTTCCCTTCCCTCATCACCAATGTCATCTACACTATAATCTAAGAGAATAAAATAGTAGTCTGCAATTGTGAAATGCAGAATTAGGAACAAAAAGAAAAGGTATGTTTATGTGGTGGACAGAGGGGAGGGTGAAATAAGACAAGCACAAGTGAAAGAGAATCTTATCAAATCTCATATATTAGCAAAATACTATCTTTTGAGACAACCAAATAACCAAAATCATAATGTGTGCAAGAAAACCCCTTAAAAGCAGTTAACCACATGCCATTTCTTAGCCTGGTTTAGTAAATACCAGTATTTACCAGTAAATGACAGGAGTAAAGTTTATTGAATGCAATTTGGTGCTTAATGGCACAATTGTATGCTAGTTTACACAACATAAAGGCCTACAACACCCAGGAAACCCCATCCCACCTTCCCATTAAGGATAATAGTTGGCAACCATTTAGAGATTATTATTTTCAGTATCTGTGTCACTGTCCCATCATTTACCAGTAAATGACAGAAATGAATATAACCCACACTTACCAAAGGTTCTTGTGCATGGCCTTGACATTTGCCAATGATAAAATTCACTGACATTTCCTGCCAGCTTCCTAGAATCTTAAAATCTAAAAGCTTTATAATTCGAGAAGATCATCACTAAATGTCAACATTCACTGAGGTTGTTCAGATCAGTGCACTATAAGCATCCATTGTGGTTTCTCAGTGAAACCAGGAAAGCACCAAACCATCAATGGTCCTAAAGGGGTGTCGCCACCTGGAAATCGGTGTGGGTGGGAGGCAATGTGAAAACCCAGGAGGGTTGGATTTAACGTGCAGGTCTGAAGTCCTGCTGCCTTGCTTTTCCATGAGCCACATTCAAGACCTGCAGTCAGGCAAATGCCTGCCTCAACCACACTCTTCTTTACTGCAGTAATCCCATATGACCTGCAGTTTCTTCATTCCAAGTGTAACAAAGGAATACCTCTTAGAATGGAGCTGCAAGTTTTTCCTGTCTTTATCTAAAACATTTTTTTAATGTGAGTGTGCATTCCCAGTGGGTTAGATCCAGATTTAGTCATCTACGTCCCATTAATTTCAGTAAGACCTACATGGGAATAATTTTGTCTGGATGCAACTCAATCTTATCTACAGATGGTAATGCCCTTGTCTCAGAACCTAAGATACACAGTAGCTACAACTCACTGACTGGGGAATATTGCCAGGAAACTGCCACATCAAGATTGGCACCACTGTTAAGACAGCCTTATGCTTCCGGAGAAATCGGATTCCAGTTCATCGGTTGTCTCCACTGGTATATTGCTCTGGCTTGGATTGGATGAATACGGCCATGGCGACTGCCATGCAATTAAACTATCTGGAGTCATACTGCAATGGCACTTTGCTGGCTGCAGAACACTCCCTGAGCAAGCAGGGCTCGACTGGGGAAAGCCTGCGTAGGAACAGGGCTGCTGACTGCAATGGCAGGCGAAATGTCCGGCTGCTTCGGCACCAGATGACTGAGCAAAACAAGGCCTGTTGGGTCCAGAGCAGCTCTGCATACAGCTGTTCTTCCGGAATCCTTGATGAATGCGCAGTTTAGCAATGAGTGGCTTGCCGATGTTAACCACCTGCCTTTCTTCCACAACATCATCTACTCCTGTGTATTCATAGTGTAGGCAAATCAAGAAGGTTAAGTCTTCCTGTGAATTAAAAGGAGATAATAATAATGATGTCACTCTTATGGCATAGGAAAAAATCTCCAATCAGATCAAAAGCAACATGACTACTGTGATCAAAATGCTTTTATCATTTCATTGAACTAATTCACAAGTTTGACATATAAAGTCTCTTTCTAATGTCTTTCTGTCACCTCATTACACCATATTCAACATTAGCTTCTAAATATCACAATATATAGATATTAGAAGCTGTGGTTATAGGCAAGAATAGTCAAGGTTATAGTCAAGAATTTGCATTAAGAGTTTGTTTTTCAGGTATGTATATGTAACTTATAACCATTTGCATCACAGTAAATTAAAAATTCCATGATAATTTGTTTTGCATGCTGACTGAACCAACTGCACCACCCATTTTATCAGAAGTAAACACAAAGGTGGGTATGTCTCCCTCAATATATCCATTTTTAGCACAAGCTAGACCAGAGTAACAAACTTGCACCCTCCCCAATATTGCTGAACTACAATCTCTGTCAATCCTAGCCAGCACAGTCCATGGTAAGGGATGATGGAAACTGGAGTCCACATCTATAGGGTTGCAAGTTGCCCACTTCTGTGCTAGATCAATTCAGAACACCTGCAGGCTCAGGGCCTTCTGCTCACACCTCCAGTACTGGGCTGGCTTGGCTGAGCCCCTGTTGCATAAGTAGTAACTGAATACTACCAGTGCTGCTCTCAGCTTGTAAAAGACTTCACATCATACAGGTAGCTGATATGAATCAAAGTGAGCTTGCAAGATAGAGGTATCATGAAATGACCTTTAGCTTCTGTAGTGAACTTATTCTAGTGTAGAGACAATGTTTGGGCAAGTCCTTTGAAAGCAAATAGCTGCCAGTTTCCTCAGGAGTCCCCTTATTTGCCTCTTTAGGGTCCACATCCAAGTCCTGTTGAAATTTTAAAAAAGCAAAAATTAACCTTTCCAAGTGATTTGCAGTAGATTGGAAGAAATTTCTGATTTTCAATCATTCAGCGACAAGGGAAAGAGAACAACTCTGCCACCCTCCAAATTATACTGTTGAAATGAAGAAACCATGAGAATAATCAGGAATCAATTTTTCTACTATGTGTTCCATTCAGTTCTGGGACTGGGAACAAATGCCTAGGCCCAGAATGGAAGTTGGGTACTTACCACAAATTTTAATTCCAATTCCATGTGCAGGAAACATCTGTCAAGGGTTAGCTCCCCTCACAAAAGAAAAGCCACATGTGATCATGTCTTGCACCTTGGCCCTGGCCTAAGGAGGGATCCAAAGCAAATCCTTACAGAATGTACAGAGGTGGTCTCTCATGAAGAGTGCAGACAACACTGAAACTCTACCAGATGGGAGAGCTATAAGAAATAAAACTTTGAAGGAGAATAAACAGTTCTAAAGGGCTTACAGGATAGATAGGTGAGAGCTGAAAACTATCTGCAAGTTCCAGTTAAGGAATTGGTGCACAACTGGAGAAATGATCCGTTTTACCCCTGTAAGGAGTTGTTTAAGGTACAGGAAAGGCTTGCGAAGGACAGAAGAAATAAGTGTGAATTGCCCATGAAGAGTGTTTGCCTTGAGACCCGTACCTAGTCCTGTTTGTAGGAACACAAGTAATTGCTTGATTCCTACCATTTAAGGATCTAAACATTTCCTGCTTCATCAAATTAATGCTGTTCAGATTGTTTCAAATATTTGATTAGTGATTAGTTTCCTGAAATGTAGCCTAGTGCTTACTACGTTGGCCAAATAGCTTAAGAAGAGGAAGATGCAACACTCAGTAGCCAGGCAATTAGATGTAGCCATTCAGGGTCTGGATGCCACACTGGGCCTTGCATAAAAAGGCTGGAAGGAACCAGGAGATGATTCTTCCAGGTACAGAATTTGGGTGAACCACAGCCACTTGGCAGCCAAAAGTGTGCCCTGAGTGCTTGAACCTTGATCTTGAGAATCCTGGCCTGGAGTGGGAAACACGTGGTCGGCCCTTGAGCCAGGAGGTAAGGAAGGCAGTTGTTGGCTTCTGCTACTTCAACCAGGTGTTAAGAAAGTAAGTGAAGTAGTTGACTGTGAAGCAGTTCATCTGAAGTGATAGCAAAGCCTCTGGAATACTGTTGGCTTGAGGGACCACTTGCCTTGATCAAGTCATTGCTGACTTAGGAAAGCTGGCTTCTGTGTTGAAGGTCCCTGATGTTTTCCACAGCGATGTACAAAAAGTTGTGTTCTGCCCAGAGGGGGAAGGAAGAGGCCTTCTTGTGTAGTGACTGAGATTTCATTCCTCTTTGGTGACTTCTGTGGACTAAGGCTGTAGCACTATCCGTTCTGACTAGGAAATGAACAGTGTTTAATTGTGAAGTGTCTTGCTCCAACCAATTGACAGTATGGTAACCTCAGACCACATCTCTGGAATGATAGTTACAGCAAGAGTGATGGATATAGACTTTGCAAGGGCAGCTCCTTAAATGTTACTTGTACTGTGAGAAAAGGAAAACCACAGGACAAATCCCTTGCTCAGCCAAGCAAGCTTCAGTGGCAGCCCTTAAATGCTGGACTTATCCAAGACAGACAGAATAGAATTCTAACTTGTTGCTAGGCAACATTTGAAATTCCTTCCCCTACACAAACGGGGGGTTTATTCCACTGAACTGTGGCCCTTGACTACATGGAGAGTCTTGGTTTCTACCTTTGCTTTTTCTCTAGACTACACATGCTGTCCTTAACTCTTCAATCTAAAAATCCTCACTGCAAAGTCCCTATCTTCTCTTAACATGCTCCAATACTCAAGGGGACAGCTCTGACGGTCAGCCACCCACCTCTTCACAGACTGGCCCGTCATAGCAATGTTGCAACGGGTGTGCCCTTTGTGATGTTCTCCATCAGCTGTTTCGACCAAGAGTGACTCTGATGCACTGTTTATGGATTATTTCAGTCTCAAAGGGAAGAACCTGCCACTGCAGTATTCTAAAATCTAACCTGGCCCTGGTAGGATCCCTAAACAGGCTTTGATGAGACCCAGAGGTTGAGCAAGCAAACAAGGATGACTTAAAATTTGCATGTTTTGCACATTTACCCTTAGTGGAAGTAAAGTTTTGCTATGGAAGTTTCTTTCCGATCCAGCTCTTGTGCTACATGGCAGAGCCCAAATGTGTGATGCAGAGAGGCCACAATGAAGAACTAAGTTAGAATTTGATTCTGAAGCAGATGAGATTTGTGAACATAATGTTGTGTGACTGAAAAATGAGCTGAGCAAAGGCCTGAAGGGATAAAAGGAAGGAGGAGGAAAGCAAGCTCATTGGTTAGAGAACCTTTTCTTATCTCTCTTTGATGAATAATTCATGGTCACATTCTTGTCTTTCATTTCCACTAAAATGGTAAGGAATTCTGAAGAGACACGATCCTGTTCTAGAGGATATGCTTACATTTCCCTTGAAGTAAGTATCCATTTTCCACTGATTGAATCATAGTGAATGGCTGGATTCAGATAACATGACAAGCTATGAGAGATTTTTTGCCACTGTTTGTCTGTTGTCTGATCTGCCAGTTGTGGTATTTCATCATGGTATGTTTGATGATAAACTATGATTAGAAATAGAGGTTGTTAGATGGTTTCTCTGTACCACCATGGTTTTCTATGTTGTCTGAACCCAGAATCTGCTTTTCCACAGTCCAGATGTGCAACTATCACACAGACCTCTGGAAAGAGTAGCAACTGCAGGAGCCACTCTAGCTTCCAGCCTCTATGTGTAGAGGAAGAAACAGGCAACCAAAGTAGGAAGTGATGTACTTTGGGATTGAATTTCAGGCCCGGCAGATGATGGGATATGTTCCAACAGCAGGAGGACTGAACAGGGAAGCTGGAAACCAAGATAACATTGTTTTAGACTGTTTTAGACTCAAGGGACCCCCTTTGGTTTTCTTTGGGAAGCCACAATGAAAGAAGCACTGAAAGAAAAGTTTTTCTGCATTTTTTCTCCACCTCTCTGATCAGGGAGCTAAACCAATTCCATTCTAATGCACTGTGGTAGTTTTAAACAAAGTTCATCATGCTGAGAAGACTGTTGTTTAACAAATCTCCCTGTGGAAGAAGTAGTAGCAACTGGGAGGGATCGTTGTGGTCTCATATGATTGCTTAGAAATGACTGTGTTTGCAGAATGCAGGCCATGTCATCCTAGGCAAATGAAACTAATTGCTGGCAGGAAGTGGACAAGTGGCTCCCAGCTCCTGACCCCTCCAAAGCTGCTTCCATGTTCTTACCAACTTTTCTGGATTATCTTTGTCCAAGGCAGGAAAGGTGGAAAGGCCACCCAATCCCACATCATCGAGTCACACAAGGACCCCACTTCCATCAACCTCTGTTGGCAAGGCTGTGGGAAGAGCAGCGGGTGCAATGAGCACTTTGGTGCTTGCACTTTGGTGCTTACAGAGTTTGAACAACTCTGATTAGCCTCACTGACCACTACCTTTCTTTTCCTTTTCCAGACCTGGAGTTCTTCTTGCTTGTTAGGGCCATCTTGTGGTGAAAAAACAGACAAGCTAAAAAGAAAAGAGAAAGGCAGCTTGTCTTTCATTCCCTTTCTTTTTGAAAGGAAGAGCAGCTGTAAGAGAGAAAGGTTTAACCAGAAGGATTGACTGAAAGATGAAGCCCAAAATAGGAAATGAGTGAGGAGGGGATAAGAACAAGCTGTGTCTCGGGTAAAGGTGAAGAACTCACTGGTGGGAGAATAAGGTGCCCAGGACCAAGGCAAAAAATATAGCCACATGTTTCTTGCCTGTCCTGGGAAGTGGGAGGAGTTAATCTGTGATAGATGGCTCTTTGCACCAGATGGAAATTCCTTTGTTCTAACAGTGTTTATTCTACAGTATTCAATGTATCAGGCTTCAGTTGAGGGATCTCTAGTCCTAATAAAAAAAAGTAGAACCCACAAGTCTGCCCAATCCTAGATTAACAGTAATAGGGCTTTTGCACCCACGCCCTCCAGCCACCCCCAATCATTCATGTTTTATGGTCAATATGTGTCATTCAGATTTTTATCGCCTTCTATATCCATACAAACTTTTGACTTTAACTTACAAGGGGAAAATCTGTGACATAAGCATTGCAAACAGTTATTTCCTGTGGTTTCTTTATGATCCTTGTGTAGATGATCATGACATTGGAGAATTCTGCTGCAAACCCAAGCTGAATTTGAACACCACATTTAAACTGAAGGTACATACTTTCAGGAAGCTCTAGAAACAGACACATTTTGATTAATATTAAGACAAGCCTATTCTTTTTTAAAATTAACTATGCAAATTGCATATTCCTCATTATTCATTATCTTCCCTAAAATTTCAGAATTTATTTCAGTAGCCAAAACAGCTCTGCACTTTTACACTTGCTACTGGAAAGCAGACTGAATCATTCTTCAAGAGTTCCTCATATATCTTGCACTATTTTAAACAGAATTTTACCTCCTAGGAGCTACACACTGTTTGCCTTCCCCACTAAAGTATGAAGTACCTCAAGGAAATTACTTCTTACTTTACATCTGGAGCACCCCCTAAATGAATTGCAAGAGATAATCAAAAGAGCAAGAACCAACAGAGAATGAAAGGGGGAAGGGAAGCACTAAAGCAGGCCATTTGCCTCAATACTACTGGTCTGTTCTCACATCACACTGAAATTATAACCTTACAGATTAAGGTGAAATGATGAATTAACTAACATGGGCAATTATTGGGTTAACTCTGAATTGGTTAACTAATAAACAACCCAGAGTTTCTGGGTATGCACATCACAAAACAAGCCAGGAATTGCTGAGTGACATGCAAATTACATTTACTCCAGGGGCTGATCTCTGGGATTAGAACTGACACATGTTGGGTTAAACGAAAAGTGACAGAGCAAGAAAGGTGAAAGGGAGGTGAGTGTTCAACTGTTCTATGCAACACAAGTTTCCATGTGAAAAACCAAAGTGTATCTACTTCCATTTTATCTATTAACTTTGTCTTTATAAAGTAAAAATAATGGACTATAATGATGATTATCATTCAGATACAATTCTTCTTAACCTGAATTAAGTCAGGCTAAAGCAGAATGATGACAGTTTTGCATACAATTTCTCTGTTACGGAGAAGCAGTAAAACATAGTAAAGACTGTTCCAAAGAGGGAAAAATCAAACTATACTATAAAAAATAGCAAGTGTCAATTTTCTAGTGGGCTTAAAATCTTGTCCTAAATGTTATCATTTTTTTAATCTTTTACACAAAGAGTTCTTTGGGGAATGTGATATTTGCATGTCCAACTGGCCTGGAGACAAAGGATAGGTTAAAAAGGTCTAGCTATGGTATATCATACCACTGACCTTTCACTAAGCCAGGAAAAGAAACCAGAAAGGTGGTACCATGTTCCCTGTGGTTTCATGCTCTTCATTTTGATCCTTCTCTTCCCATATATCCTCTATTGCAATTTCAGTGCAGTTACATTTGAGATAGATAGCCCTATTATTTCATTACGTGCTGGAATATGAGGGGCTACAGATTAACTAGTTAAAACAAGGTATTTCTGTATTTGCAGTACCATGAGCTTTTGCCCACTGCAGATTCCGTGCCAATGTCTCTGCTGAAGTTACTGTTTGCTGAATAGGATCTGTTAATGCTCTCTTCTCAGATAAACTGCTGCGAATCTCCAAAGCCTGCTTGCCTTTGGTAAGGTGACACTTGCCCATATCTAAAAATAAAAGATGCAAATCATTTTCTAGGAATCAAAGCTGCTGAAAATTCTAATTAAAGCACCTACATTCCAGCAGTGCTACCAAGTTGCTATGGTTATAATTGTGTCAGCGTTTCCATGACAAACTCAATTTCAAAGAGGCATTTAAGCCTGGCTGTTCAAAATTCAGTACAGTCTGGAACATACTGTGCAAGTTCTTTTGCATGAGAATTACCATCACCACCAACACGCAAACACATGCACATTTAACATTCAACATGTCTCGAACGGAAAAGTTTCTCACTCCATATTTTTAATCCTTTTTCTCCCTTATATATCTCCCACATAAGATATATTGACTGGGTTTGCAAAATCACCTGGATCCAAAAGGTGCACTGAATTCTAAGCAGTGTATCAAAAGGCTGCATTTCACGGGATTACAGGACAAACTGTATCCTTGTTGAAGAGACAAATGGAGCAAAGGTTTCCTTACCCGGATTCCATCATGGCTACGTAAATAGTAGCAACAGAGCTAACCCTAACTAGTAGCAACAGAAAATGGCCATGCACCTCAGTGCAACTTCCACTGAAAGTAATACAGTGCATGTGGGTAGCCGCGGGGACACATTTCTTCTTTAGAGGAAGAGCTCTGGGTGAGCTCCCAATCTGACTGGAGAGATGACATTGACCTTATCATGTTTACTACACAATCACCAATTTTCTGAGATTATGCAGGGAGAAAGGCCAACAAGCTAACTTAAAAAAGGCACCGAAGTAGCAGCAAACCAGGTAAAACAAAGGCTGTGGATGGATGCAAAGAAAGCATGCACAGTAAAAGCAGCATTCTGCACCCTTCCACCATCACCACTTCCTGACCTCTGGAAAAAACAATCTTGGTGTCAAAAAACAGAAGCACATAAACATTCAACTTGGCAGTAATAACGCCCGAGTGGTTTTGGACTGTTTAACCTGAAAAATCCGCTGTGATTTAGAGCAGAGAAGTGACAGGTTCTGTACATACCCATTTAAACTTTTCCTCATCAGCATTTTTCTACTGACATATAAGCTGTTTTCACCCTGGGGTTGCAGATGCTTCTCTGAAATGTGCATTTGTATGCTCATGCGAGACACACAGGCTATAGCGGTGGCAGTAGAGTGGTAGAAAAAATTTCATCCTCTCTGCATGTGAATACTACAGTGCTGCAAGGGCATTTGAGATACAGGAAGGAAGCAGGCGAAGGAGGAAGGATATGAACAACCCAGGAATGAAGTAAGCAAGCCATGGTTTGTTCAGTCTTCTGCCAGACAAACTGTGGGTATAGCAATAAACCACAGGTTAAATTAACCATGGGTTAGTTTATGCATAAATTAGGGGCTCTCTCACCTTCAGCTACACCATCAAGCAGCACAGTAATCTTCTTGTCCTCTAATAAGCGTTCCTTCAAAAATTTCATGAAAATCCCATTGGCTAATCCAGACTGTTGAATTTCAAAAGCTTCTGCTCCCTGGCACCTTTAAATTATATAAATAATAACAGAAGTGTTAGGTAGGTAGCAAAGTAGCCATTAGTGCTCACCAGTATACATGTAAATTTGAACAAGCCGCTGTTATTTAACTTAAAAAAATATAGATGACACTGAAATTTCAGTTCAGATTTCATATTAAAGTGCACACAAGGTATATATTTACAAGATTTTTCCCCATTTGGTAACATTCTAATTCAGGGTCACTGTTTATATAGATTAAGATCTAGAAATATTAATGCTTGCTCACAAATGTAAAATATGGTCGGTTTGCCAGGAAGCAAGCCTTTAGCAAGTGGGAACTCTAATAATTCTAATAATAATTCTAATAATTCTCCTTTAGCCAAAGGACATTTCAAGGCAGTAGAGTAAATGCGGCTGTAATCCTTTGCAAACTTACATGGCAGTCAGGTTCACTGAAATCAGAGATTCTTAGTTCTGAGTGAATGTTTAGGATTGTGCTGTATGGATACTACTGCTATTGAGCGTAAGTGCTGTGTGTTGCGAAAGCAACTTAGAAATCATAATCTCTGAAAAAAGACTATTGGTACTTACACTGAAAAGTTCTTGGTAGGCATTCCACAATGGGTAATCCCCCCTCCCAATGTTCATCAAAAGCAGGGACCATCTGACTAAACATCTGAGTATTCCATTGATCCTGGGTTCTTTGTTGCCAGTTCTGCCAATGGCTGAACCTCAGGAGAAAAGTGTACAGACAGATCTCCTGGCTGAAGTAAATGTTAGATGCACAGAGGGACAGAAAAAGTAATGCAACTATCAATGTGCCACATGTTTCTTGCCTGTCCTGGGAAGTGGGAGGAGTTAACCCATATCTGCCAACCCACTCTGAGCAGCCAACCCACTCTGGCTCATTGCCAGTTTAGGCTGTTGTGATATACAGATGCTCCCATTATCTCCTTTTGAAGCAGAATAGGTTAGTAGTTTAGAAGTCAACACATTTTTCTGGGAATTTAAAGATGATAAATACATCAAATGTACACATTTAAACTGATTATCCTTACGTGGCATATCCAAAAACAATGTTGGCTGTAACCTTCAGAGCATCCAAGATGAGAATGGTATTGTCGTATTCATTCCTTCAAATAAACATAAGATTCAACATCAGAAGAATAGCCAGAAAATTTATTTTTCAAATCTTGCCATTTATTCTATCTCTTCTTTGACACAACCCATCAGTCATCAGTTAAAGCAGGACGTCAAACTGCTTCCTCCACAGTCATGTGCCACCCAAGCTGCAGAGTTTAACATAAGACTGCCTTTAGCAGCTTGTTGTCATGATCTGCTTGGAAGGAGGAGGTGGGGGGAAATGGTCTCTGAGATCCATTATGCTGCTATAAATGTGTTCTCAAGAAAGTTAACATGGCTATGCTGACCATAAGAACAAATTCAACTTTTTGTGAGTCTTGAATACAATTACACAGATTTTGGATTATGAATGCTATGCTTTAACAATGAATGGATTTTGGAGTTAGTTTGAGTTACGCTGAACATGATGATGTTGTTACAAATCACTTAAATCCAGATGGCTTGAAACTTGACACGGATGTTCTTCACAACTGTTTGTTTTAGCCTGTCTGTCTCTGCTGACTATCCAGCATAGTTGAGCTATACATTATGCTCACCATATAAGACTAATGAGATCTGCCTATTCATAAGACTAGATCCATAAGCAAGGAGAGCTGGGGTGGTAGAATGGTAGCTGAAGCCATGCACAAACAAAGAAAAAATGGGATATACATAACTAATGAATAAAGAGAACCCATGCTCTCTCTGTGCAACTAAACCTCTCCACCTTCCACTCATAACTGGATGGTGGTGGTGGGGGGGAAATATTGCTGTGACAAGATAACATCTACAGAAAAGGCTGGCTGTTACATTGCCTTCCCTATCAACATGATCTGAAACCTTCATCTAGTGGAGTTTCAGTGTTCTGAAGAGCAGCTAAGATCTGGTTGCATCTGGTAATCAAAATGAATTATTTGAAGCATGAGGCACAAACCCTTGAGCAGGAAGAAACCATATCTGACTTGAACCACCACTGTGTATTTTGTTCTCATAGGTTCTGCAAATTGATCCAACGGAAAAGTAATCTCAACTTATTTTGCTTTTGTTTTGAACTCCAAAACCTAGAGAAGAATCTTATAAAGGCTGAAAGGCTGTGACACTTGTGTACAGCAACTTAGTAAGAGTTCATCTTTCAGCTATTCAGCAGGTTTCCTTCTGTACAGCCAAAAAAGCTGCACATCTTGCAGCTTGGTTTACCACCAAAGAACAATTATCTGAAGTGATAAAAGCAGTTCATACCTTTTCCTGCACATGTCCAGTAAAAATACATTGAGACCAGTATCCTTTTCTTGCATCAGTTTGAGAATGTTTTGTACACATAGACAGTTTGCAGCTCGGTAAGGATTTGGGGCATCGATAGGAACCATAAAACTGTTACCATAGTTTTCATAGCCATGGCCAGCATAATATAATAAGCCTGAGAAGGGAATGAAGCACATTTAAAATACAATTAACAATGCTTTTAAGTCAATTCATTCATTTAAGTTACAAAGCCAACAAGCAGGCAGGCAGAGATAGAAGGAGCAATAGTCTGGCAGTTTCTTACAACCGTATAACCACACTTGCCACAAGTAAGAAAGGCCTGGATGTCTTAGTCAAACTCTTGTGGCTTTAGTGAGAAGACAATGAGGAGACAGGGTCAACAGCATTTTTTTCAAATTTTGCACTTGCATTCAGAAATGTCATCTTCTTGTCAGTAACAAATTTATGACAATATGGCAAGAATTGTTAACATTTATTTGTTCATTCAATCTCTATCCTGCCCATTAGCCAGGATGATTCTCTGGGCAGCTGACAAAATATAACAACAACATACACACTAAACAATATTAAACATACTGAAACAATAAAATAACCACAATAAAACACTGGAAAACCCCACAGCAGCCACAAGTCAAATAAGCACAGTAGCACTAAAATACAATTAGACTGCTTCAGGCCTCTTGGTCTTGAAACTGAGCTTGGAATGTATATATGGATTGTTTAGTTAGAAAAAATGCAAGTAAGGGGAAACATGCCATAGATGTTCAAAAGTATACATGGTGTGGATAATTTGGATAGGTGGGCATTTTCCCCTCTCTTTCATAATACTAGAACTCATGATCATCCCTTGAACATGACTGGTGGGAGATGCAATGCAGATAAAAAAAGTTCTTCATCAAACAACACATAGTCAAGTTACAGAAGTCACTTCCATGAGTCGTGGTGATGGCCATCAATTTGGATGGTTTTGGGAGCTGGACAAATTCATGGAGGATAATGCTATCAGTCTGGAGGACAACATGTAGGAAAAGGCCACTTTTTCTCCTCTTGACACCCAGTTTTCAGCACTGTTGTTCATTTAGTTAAACAAGTACATGAAGTATATTGTCTCTGCTTTCCCTCTGAACAGTTTAACTTTAAAGCCAATAATAATAAATTTCTTTAGGACACAACCCTGTGCATGCTGAAGCAGAAAAAAATCCCACAATTCCCAGCCATGTTGGCTAGCTGGACAATGCTGGGAGTTGTAGGACTCTTTTTCTAAGCATGCATAGGATTGCACCTTAATCATTTTGGAATAGCTGAAGCCTGTTTTCTTTCACTCTTAGGCTAAGAAAGAGGCATTTTATAGACCCTGTCAAGTCCATAAATGGCTGTGCCACTACAATTTTAGAAGTGGAAAGTATGTTGGGATTGCCATTTGTCATCACTTGTAACTTTTAAAATATTTTGGTTCAATGGAAAAAGAACTCAATAAAACAAAGGCAAATGCCACATACTTTTCAAGGCCTAGTAAGTGAGCAGCAGCAACAGTACAGCTGCAACTGACCCAAATGTGCCCGACAAGCTACTGCAAAGAAAAGGGTATGACAAAGTACCCGTCTGCCGTCAGAAAGTCTGCAGGAGCTTTCACTGCTCCAATAAATCTTTCTGTCAGTGTGACCCCTGGCTCAGATGTATAAAGGGCGAAAGGCATGCTGAATGTCAGATCCGCCAGCACTAAATGAATCAAGCATTAGGTATCTGATCAATGGGAAAACCGGGCTATGCAACAACTTCACCTTGTCCTGGCATCTATTCCAGGGACACCTGGAAACCAGTCAGTGGAAACCATTGTTTGGCCTGAGTTATCAGCCTCCTCCACCCCTGCCACCCCAGAACAATATGTTTATGAACACTGAAAAGTAAGTACAAATTAGGTCACACAGCTTTGTAACTTAGGAAAAAAGTTGACTGACATGTCAAGGTGGGGAGAGCAATGACTCAACATGTGCTTTGCATGTAGAACTGCCAGAATCAACGCACAGCATCTCTGGTTAAGGGATCAAGTGATGAAAAAGACTGAGATCTTTGATAGCTGCTGCTAATCACAGCAGATAATACTTGGCTAGATGAACTCTGTATAAGATAGCTTCTTTATGTTCATATAGAGGTCATTCAATTTAATATCAGACAGGCTGGGAAAGATTCTTTCCTGAAATCATGAAGAGCACGTTGCAGGAGACAGCACAAGGCTACGCAAACCAGTGATCTGACTCAGCATATGGAGATTCCTCAATTCCCTTGGAACTTTGATTTTTTTCCACAAAATGATGAGAGCAACCAATATTAATGTATAATGATTTTCTTAGATTTTCAGAGTTTAAATTCAAGGCAATGTCCCCTCCCCTGTTATTTCAAACACCAAACTACTGGTTATTAAACCTGTGCATCTCTCCCCCATTCTAAAAGGCTGAAATGCATCTGCTGAAGGTCCTCATAGGAAGGGCTTTAAGTTACACTGTTGTTGCTAATGTTGGCTTTAACCCTTTTCTCTACAGCTCTACCACCTTTGCCTTCAGACATGCCTATTACTGGAATGCAACCCCACAGTGCTTTTCTGAAACTGAATTCTCACCCCACGGTCTACACAATGAGCCACCACATCATGGCCTGTTGTGCCATATGAAAGCAGCCAGGTTGGACTGATGGTATGGCTAATGAGCCACCAAGGATGCACAGGATATTTTAGGGCTGTGGGTGTTTTGTTAGCTGTGTCACCAACCTGCCTGGCTTGGCTTGTACAATACAATAAGCTACATAACACCCCTGCCTTGACTCGCTTTTTAAAAATGCCAGCCAGCACATGACAAGAACCACTGATAAAGTAATCCATAGTGGCTTGTTGTGATGGGCAAACAGTCCCACTGTACAGGCTCAGGAAAAAAAAAGATATTCAACTTGATCAGCAGTCATGCCACTGGCTCTTACCATAGACTCCTTTGTCCAGAAGCAGTAAGAATTCGTCTACTGCATTTCGCATCTCAGGTTCAGTAAGATCTAGTAAGGAAACCACTTTGAAGTCCAGCTGCCTCAGCAAGTTGGTCAGCTCATAAACATCCACCAATGGAGCCTTGAGCTTGGGGTGATTACAATAGCTCATGTTGCCCATCAACAGTGCAACTTTGTCTACAGCTGCAACCACAAAAAACAACACAACATAGCATGTTTCTGTGTAAGGAAGTGTGTTCACAAGCATGCAAATCACAAACTGTATCATCCATACTTGGAGTCCCTTACATGCAAGTACTTCCCATGTGTAAAACATGTAGTCTACATGTAGCTATGTAGTCTTGGAGGACATGCTAAGTTTTATCACTAAGGTTACAAATAACTGAGACTATATACATCAAGAAGCATCCCAGTGATCTCACACATGATGAAAAAGATGTCTCGAGGTTCCAAGTACAGCAACAGACCTAGGAACATCCTTTGTCTTCAAACACAGGTAAACAGTGAAGGCTATGAATGACAGCTGCCTTTGAGCTTCTGAAATCTGAAACCCATGATTGTTTCAGTCTTGTTTAAACCCATCACCAGTCCATATAGTCATATATTTATTTCAACTTTCTGGGACAGCACTTTCAACAACAAAATACATGAAAATATTCTGAAGAAAGCACCGTCATGCAGTCTGTGGTGAAAGGGAAGATGGTGGTGTTTTATTAAAGTTCAGCACAATTTTATCTATTATACACATGCACACAATCAATCTCTCTATATATACACACATTTGGAAACAGCACATTTAGGGAGCAATCCTATACATACTCACCTGGGAATAGGCCAGATTAACCTCAGTGGGGCTTACTGCTGAGTAGATGGATAGCAGTGTTAGAGAATTATGAAGGGATATGTTTGTTATCATGAAAGAATAAGAGAAGCAAATAGAATAAGGAAATGTCAGAGCTTCAGTATGATTATGCTTCTTTTCTGAAAGGAGACTGACCAGTGAGGTTCTCCAATTAGTCACACAGTTAGAAGGAGGTGAGAGTGAGCAACTAAAACTTGAAGTAAAGGGGAGATATCTTCAGGCAAGTTTGCCATCATGACATCCCATCTGAGCAAAAAGGCATGGAGATTGCATGTTGTGTGAAAAACCCATAGCTTGCCTGTCAGGCCATCAGGCTCACCATGGGCTGGGTGCTCCCTTACTCCCACTTGCTGCTCCAACAGGACACTGCAGCAGGACTAATTTATCTGCTCTCTTCCACTATTACAAAACCTCTTACCCTCAAGACCAGTCTTTTTTCACACATTTTACCCCACTTCTCCCATCATGAATTCTGCCTTCACAGCCATTGTTCAGAACCTCCATGTTGACAGGCCCTTCAAAGATCCTAAGCAGCACGTACAAGGAGATGTTAGTGGCTAACATGCAAATTTCTTTAACATATATGGCTAGATACTTGGGAAAGTGTGGAAATGCATCTTGTTCCCTTTTCTGGGGAAAAGAAGTAGTGACAGCTTTAAAAGGGTAAAGAGTGTTTCTGGCACCCTTTTTCGTAGTCTTTGACTAAGGCCTGATTAGCTACCTGGGTTTGCAATCAAGTTAAAGGCACTTACTGTGGAAAATATAATATACTGTGCCTTGAATGATGTTAATTCCTGCATGATTAGGGCTAATAGCTGTCAAAGCAGTAACTGTTATTTTCATACAGAGGATGATACCAAGTAACAGAAGAAAAGCCCTCAAGTGGCAGCTCTGAGCTGGTAATACCAGTAATCCACCTCTTATACCCCAGGACAAGGCATCATGTAGCCCACCTTCTCTGCAGCCCTTCAGGGGCTTTTAGCAATCAGTGGTTACTCTCTAACAATTTTCCATGATGGCTACTGCTCACCCCCACTCTCCTCAAAGCAAACCTTTCCTTATTTGGTTACTTTATACTGAAAGCTTTTTGTAAGGAAGGGCCATTGCCCAGGACCATGCAAAGCTGCTACCATTTGGAAGAGACAGTACTGAACTAGGTAGCTTGTCTTTTTCCTTTCTGCACTTTGCTGTAATATAAATGGTACTATGTAACACAAATGGAAACTGCACTGTTTTCCATATATTTACAAGTGGTTAGAAGAATTGTGAGCATTAGCTATAAGAAAGAAAACTGTATCTGGAATAGTTTGATACTTTTAAAGAGATCTGGACATCAATCAATCTTCCTATTCTATTTAAACATAATGGCCAGATTTGGATGGAGTGCTTAGCCATGGTTTATGTTAACCATGGTTTATTTTTTCAGCATGAATCATCTTGTAAAAAGAATGTGGCTTTTTCCTATTTCTACTTCATTTCTCTCCCATCCATTCTGCCAGTCTTTATAGAAAATGCAATGGCTCCTGGAGGTGAAACAATAGCCATAACTATGGGCTATCAATTCAGCCATCATGCCATCCAATGGTTACCACAGACCATAGTTAGCAACTAGAGCTGAAACTGTTTTTTAAAATTGCAGTTTATCAATTCAGACAACATACTTAAGTGATGGTTAAATTGCCTTGATGTTACCTCAACTGAGATATAGTATTTCTTTTTTACATTTGATAACTATATTCAGCTATTCAGTTCAACAGACAGGCACGCACACACTTTATTCATATATAATAATATTTATCTGTTTTCCTGGAACAATCATGAGTTGATTTCTTTGCCTTGGACTTAATTTACTGTTTATGCTTGCAGCTTTAAAGACAAACACATCATTTATAGGTGAAATACAATCTGTCAAGCTTCATCACAATGAAAGCCATTTTAGAGAGACATTTACAAATGATTAGACACTGGCAAGGTTTCAGTGACCACCTGTTGGAGTGGGTTAGTACAACACAGTCATTAATACATGCCTATTTACACTGACAGCGCAATGTCTTCAAGCTGTTCTTATCCCAAGAGAAACTATAAATTAATAAAGCAATCTGCAAATTGTCAGGCTTAATATAATCAATGGCAGCATGAATCATGCTTCCATTTGAGAAAATACAAATCAGTCTTGTTACTGGAAAATCCTATGCTTTTATTCTTGCACTTTTATAAAAATCCTGAACTCAGATTCCAAACACTAAGTTCTACTTTTGAGTAGGAAGCATTCAATCCTTGCTTTCATAAATAGTTTTATAGTCATGTTGATTATTATAGCTTCAGTACATGCCAGTGGACCTTTATACTCTAACCTCAAAATTTAAGACCTTTATGTATGTATACCCCAGTAACTCCTTCCCCAAGGACGATCATCTGGTGCCTACTTCATGATCTTTAAGTTGGCATTTTATTCTCTATGGTATCTTCATGGTTTATACTTTAAAACAGCATTTGGAGGATAATAGATTTTAAATCACTGGGACTGAAACTTTCATTTTACACTTTTAATTGCTATTTTGTTTATTGTGCCAATCATGAGCAGTATCCAATGGGGCTGCTGTGCTCCCACCAATTCCACTGTGCACAAAGGGCTCAGTTCTTCATAATACAAGCCTTGAAATGTGCCCCAATACGAATAGACTGGGACAGGTCAACAGAGGTCCAGTTTGCAAGCTTCACCTCCCTGCCCTGTTCTCTCATTTTCAGTTTTTACAGGCTTGGTAAAAATCTGAATGGGTGACTTAAAAGTTGTGAGCCACCTAGAGAGCTTCAAGTTATGGGCAGTGTAGAAATATAATGAACAATAATAATAATTTTAAAAAATAATGATGTGTACTACTGGCATCCGTGCAGTCTTGGATACTTCCCAGTCTTGTTTTTATTGTATATTTTATTACTGTGCTGTGTTAAATTACATTGTAAATCACGCTGGCCTAAATATGAAGGACTGTATAAAAATACTTCCTGGACTCCACAGTTTGTATGGTACTCATAAAAAAAGATGCAAGAATGCCACCTCACAGTATGTTCTATGTGTGCTTTAATACAGAGCAACATGTCAGTATGAGACCCACACTCGCGCCAGACTAAAGTGATATAATCCTAGGCTGTACAGCTTGGCCTTATGTATTTCACAGTCTGCGCACCACTCTCTCCCCAGCAAAGAAATATCTTCTTCATTTTTTCCCAGGACTCATTTGAGAGGAGGGAGAAGAAGTGAACATAATCACAAGAAGTCTTGTTCTCCTTCCTCCAGATCAACAAAATTAGGAAAGTTGACCTTAGTCATCAGGTAGGCTGCTAGGTGACCCTTGCAGAACCATCACCCAGGTAGAATATTTCCATTTAGCTATAAAGTGGACCAGCCCAGAGTAAAGTGTTGAAGGTGTGCTAATAGCAAGACGAGTGGCAATTGATGAGGTACTATTTAATCTATAGCAAGAAACAGCCAAAGTCCTTCCACTGTATAAATACCTTGCTTTAAAATAACTGAGGAAGTCCAGCAGCAAATACAATAAACTTCCCACTGCACTGACCTTTCAATACAGCATGAAAACCCAGCCATCATGCAAATGGTTTGCATTTTGCTGTGCTAACAGAATGCACTGACCTTTTGTTGTTTAGGTCTATACTTTAATCCCTTTGATAAAGAATGTACTCTGCCAAAGAAAGAATCTAATTCCAGTGGAACCTTTCCCAGAATGAGTTCAAACACCCTCTGCAGAAGGCCAAATCTCATATATGGCAAGGAAGCAAGAAATTAACCTTGCCTGAAAGAAACTTAAGAAAAATTAAGCAATATGAACTCACTATTATGTTTAAGCCTATTTCAGATGTCTTTATTGTCATCTTCAAAGAATTATGAGGGTATCAGCATAAGACATGAATGTAAACCTCAGTACTTTCAGAAACACAGATCAATGATTAATAACCCCTTAAAAAATATTGGAGTAGCCTTTGCTGTTATTAAGCAAATTCCCACATACGATGCAAAATGGGGGAAGCACTCCAAAGCATGGGGACATAAGGGTTCCTCCTGCAGGTTCACTAGAGTCATACAATGACAAGAGATTTTGGTTAGGGTACAGTAGATACTGCCTAGATGTGTAGAAATACCTACCTGGTAATACCCAGAATCAAAGTGGTATTCAAATCTACAAGACTGTTTTCTCTTTTTGTTCACAGAACTTTCTAGCCCTAGCACATAGTACACCTCCTCACTACAGTATGTGTTACAAGATACAAAGAACAATCAAAACAAAATGTTGGCGAGTCATCCTATTGCAATCAATAAAATAGGCAGTTAAGTACTGAGAAACCTGTTGATTTCAAAAGAACTTGGCTGTGACCATCTTTCACCAGATCGTATGCATGTTTCTAAAGAAGCATTAAACTACTCACCAAATTGTCTTTCAGTTGACTCTTCTTTAAGAGCTGTTTAAAAAAGGGAACAGAAAAGATACAAATTCAAAACTCCCAATGTAATTCACTAACATTAAAGACATCAAAAAGTTCTCTAATTTGGCTCCTCCAGCTTTTGCTTACATGTTAAATGTCTCTGGATCTCCCCCACTCCATTTATAACACCGTTTGCAGATTTTTTTTGTGTAGGAGGACATTTCTCTTTTGCTCTCATTTAAGACAATTTAAAACTAAGTAGGCTACAATCCCTAGAATATGGAACCTTCTACCAACGTTGCTGGGTAGAATCATTATATTATAATGCTTTTGAAATGATGGGAACTTTGATAAGTTAGTGTGAATTTAACACAGGGAACAAGAAGGGGCTTTTGTTCAAAAGGGTACAGATGGAAATAAGAAGGCTCACTAGACATATGGAAAGCCTCTGGATCTACCCTACAACAGGTTAGAGTCAAAATCCAGGTAGTCAAATATAAATCTAGAACCAAATATGGCACACAAGAACAGCTGTGAGTGTTATGGCCTACGGTTGACATCCAACATTACATGAGCAGATCTACATTCACTCTCCTGAACAGATTTGCAGAGGTGGCAGGGCAGAAGGGAAATCTGTTCAGCTGACAGATGCTGTTCCGTCCGAGATAGATAGATCCTAAATATTTTCACTAATTCTAAGACATGCTGCCATGATTTCTAGTTAATTTAATGCTGTAAAGAAAGTTAGGAAACATAATTTTCAGGTTCAAGGTTTCTAGCATCAAGATGTTGATGGCCTACATAAATATAGATTGCAATTTGGATAAAGAGGCTAATAAGCATCCAGTGTGTAGACTTTCCAAAGGAAAATCAACAAAGGTATATTTAAAAGGTTCCAAGTCAAAGACATGATCACAAGAAGCAGTCATAACCTTGTTCCTTTCCCAGAATCTGAAAGGCAAATCATGTCTTATCCAGGTAAAGCACTGAGGCTCAGCACCACTTATGATACTTGCTCAGTTGATTTGATATATTCAAACTTCTGGCACATCCACAAGAATGTCCCCAGAGGCCTGCAATATGCAGATTAGAAAGCAGTGTTTTCATTCTTCAATTCAATCCATCTTTGCAATTTTCTTGAATACCAATGACTATGCCCCAGGAAGAGAGCCCAGCCAATTGTTTCTCCAACTATGACTGGGGTATTTCTAGACGAAAACCTCTTCTGAGAAAAATGGGAAAGTATTTTGTTTGTTGAATCACTCATGAGTAAATACAGTCTGATGATTTCAACGTATTATGCCAAAGTCTTGATCTGTCCTGGCTGTGTTGGGCTGTAACTAACCACATCCCCAGCAACATACATGGAGGGCACCAGGTTGGGGAATGCTGATACACGTGCACATGCATGCAGAAAGAACCTTGCTTGGCATTTGGTCAAAAGCAAGTATGCACTCCCTTAGCCAGGGAAGGATTGACATGACTTTTAAATAGACATTTTAGGTAACTAAATGCTGGGCACAATCCTTAATGGAGTCATTATTTGATACCGTGGATTTACCAAACACCTGATGGTTTACATCATGGAATCATCATTGTAACTATTTTACATTTGGCCAGTCAAAGCTAAATTATAACTCGATGCTGGCTCCAGGATAACCAGCAAAGAGACAGATTCTGTTTCATGCTATCTTTCCCAACTATTTGCTGGATACGCTTATGCATGAACAATGTATGGCTGATGTATATTAGAAGAGCTGATGGTAACATTCTGGCCGCGCAACAGGTGGCATAGGAATGACAAATCCAAATCGATATTTGTTTGCTTGCCTGACCCTCTTTAGCTTTCAAGTGCTTTCTGATTTTACAGTATACAAAATGGCATAGGAAGTCCTGATTAAGACATGCAGATGATATAGAAATTGCTTTGGAAGCATTCCGTATTTTTACTAGGAAAGAACCGGATGGAGAAAAACAAGAATGAAAACAATTTGTTTCTTCAGCAGCACATAATGTACAAGGTTTCTTCAAAAACTTTCCACACTTTTTTCAACTCTATTAAGAATTTCAGAAACAAATTACATCACTTTTCTACATAGTCACCTTCCTTTGCAATAGTTTTCCCAGCATCATACCAACTTTTAATGCCATCAGCAAAAAAATACATGAAATATATTTATAAAATATAAAAGTGAGGAAACTTAAGACCTCTCGTATATTATCTATTATGTACAACTAAAAATTAAGGTGTACTTACCTGGCCTTCCAAGGCCACTTAAGTCCTCTAAAACAGAATATAGAAAAAATGAATACATATTTATTAGAAAAACATAAAAAAAGAATTCAGAAGTAGGATTTTGCTATAACTAATAGAAGTTAAAGACAGAAAGATATTGTTTAGTGGTTATATTTTGTGATGATCTCTTAAATATGATGCATAGGTAAAGCAGCTCCACAATACAAAAAAAGGAGGAGAAATGAGAAGGCCATGCATGAATATGAAACTGTATTGCATCAGCATGCTGTATAGCACAATGATTTATCACAGCATAGGATTCTATTTTAGTGACAAATCCCTAAATCTTGTAGTGACAGAATCACACAAATTCCCAACATGCATTTGAAGCTCTACACCATCCAGCTGACATTACCTTCAGTGCATTCTACTGCAATAGATTTTCCACCTTGGGTTTCAAGAAAAAAAAAGAATGCTGGAATGAAGTGCTCGGTAATGAATACAAATGGGAAATAATTGTGCTGCTCACAATTTATGCACATAGATTTAAAAGCTTATAACTAATAATTATAGCATAATTAATTATGATGGAACAGCATAATTTAGGTCAGGAGTGGGAACACCCAGCCCACATGTGACTCATTCACTCCCAAAATTGGGAAAATTTGTGAGGTGGTTAGCAGGGAGTACAGAGTACCCAAATGACAAAATTAGTTTGCCTGTAAGCTAAATTTCACACTTTGGATGGATTTGCATTCATTAATTCATTATTTGATTTCTATCCCACTTTTTTCTTACAAACTCAAAGCAGCTCACATCTTTCTACTTCTCTCAATCTTATCCCCACAACAACCCTGTGAGGTGGGTTGGGCTGAGAGTCTGTGACTGGCCCAAAGGGAGAATGAAAATGGTCTCTGGAACACTCACAGTTGCCCACATTTGATTTAGGTGCCAACTGGACAACTTACGATATAATGCTGCATTACTATCCAGCCTTCCATTCAGTTTAGTATGGTAAATCTGTCATGACTACCCATGGTTTAAATAAACCCTGGTTAGCCTTGAACAAGGGGGAGCGAGTACACCAGCTGGCTCCCAGCCACTTAGGCACCTCTGCTGACTTAAACAACTGAGGCACACTCTGTCCCTAGGTTGTTGTCATGATTGAACCTAGAATTATTGTAGGAAGAACAACACACACTTGCAAGTCATTGTTTATTCTTGGTTTACAAATGTGGGTTGTTCCTCCTCTGATAACCCATGATTCTAGCAGGAGTGATCAGGTGGCTAGCATCCAGCATACTCACTTCTGCTTATTTCACAGTCCTTCCTACATATTTCATCTGAGGTATTTTTAGACCCCAACTGGAATTCCATTACATTTACAGGAAATTTTTTTTTGCCAAATACTATTTTTGGTTATTTTTATCATGGTGAAGTGTGTTTAAAATACTGAAACAGCCAGATCCAGAATAAGGCTAAATATCAGTTTAAATGCACATTAATTCCCATTTTTGCATACTGAATAACCAACACTTCTGATTCTGCAATGTATATTTTCCAATACAAACAAAACAAAACTTATTTTTTGAACCAAAGAGGCAGAACACAAATTTAAGCTGGCATGAACTAGAAAAAAACACATAATTTTAAATACTAGTATTTAAAACTAGTACTGTTTGTTATTGGGGTCAGCCAAGACACATGCTACAGGGAAAGGCAAAATAGCTTTTTTTCCAGAAGATGCATTACTTGTCCCCCTACAGGAATGCAGTCTTGCTGTACTTGTCCTTTGCTGTTAGCTGTGGGACATAATTGGCAGGCATCTTCAGCTGGGACCCAGGGCACGAGGTAATGGAGGCAGAAGAAGCCCCAAGGCTCACTCAGGTAAATGGTGGTGGACACTTGGGAAGACATAGTAGGGTCAGAGACAAAGGCTTAGTTGGGAACAAGCATGTGTCTGATACTGATGAGTTGTACAAGAGGCTACGGCAGAGTCAGGAATAAGTGAAGAACAAGGCATGGCAGAACCAGGCAGTCAGGAACAGGGAAAAATCATGACACAAGCCATTGCAGGACTTGCATCAGCTGACAAACCGGAAAGAAAAAGTAGCTACCATAAAGACTTGTTTTTGTGGCAAAGCAGTATGGTCTGAAGGCACACAGGGCACCTACCATGATGGTCTGAGCTTGGAGCAGAGACCACCTGGGAACTTCATGCAGCCACCCTGCATATAATAAATAAAGCTGAGTAGGACTGGGTACTCTTTTATAGAGCTTTCTGTGCTCCCTAGATGGTCTGCATGATTGCACTGGCTCCAATCCTGCAGAGACCTATACGACTGATGCTAATCCTACAAGTACTCACAAGGTGAATCATGCTACTTGGTCAGGAGACCAAGGCGAGCTACATGATGCTGCAGATCCTGATATCGGCATACCTAGAGGCAAACTATTAATACTTGATATGATACAAAAGCCGCATCAATCTGCTCTACCTTGATTTAAAGTTCTTGTTCATAATTACTCAATTTCACCCTCCTAGTAATATGAACATTTTACATGTGCATTGCACTCAGGCACATATAATACTGTGCTATATGTCTTCATTCATGCTGAAAACTAATGAAAATGAAACCAAGTGTAAATGAAAACAAAAATGGCAAAATGATTTAATTCAACGACCATATAGTTTATAAAAATGTCCTAATTTGGTTAATATTTTGTTTAAAAAATCCAAAGGAGAAATAGACTACAGACACACACATACACATGGCTTTTCCAGTATGTATACAAGGTTTTGGAATCAAGTTACCTTGCACTACATGGCAACATGTTTAGAAACCTGATTAGTGGTGCAGAGAGTTGCCAATCTATAGTGTCAGGTTTCTCATATGCACATGATGTTGTTGGCAAGTATGTTTCAGAAATGACTAAGCTCAGGGGAACACAGAGGTTAAGCAATTAGACAAGCTGATAAACTTATGCAAGTGAAAGAAGTCTATGCCAGGCATGGACAGAAAGTACATCATGGTACTCCCGGTAGATCGCTAGGGGTTTCACAGGACATCAGCAAGATATCTAATTCCCAGTTGTTCAATAACAGCAGCAACAACACAATTTTTTCCAACTAACTTAGGCTAAAGAAAGCTTGGGATACTCAAGTGTGGTCTTTACATGAAAGAGTTGTTAGCTCCGTTCAGTTCTGATAGCGAATGCAAACTCCTTAACTCAAATAATATGTCCTTAAATAATATTCAGATGGTAAGTTCCTTTGAGTCAAATTCTTGAGATGCACAAAAGGTAACACAGTCCCTCAAGTGTCACATGAGCTGTACTTAATCCAACACCATTTTTACTTGTTGTGCTGAACTATACACCAAAGTTAGTTTACTATCACACTCATTGCTAATCTTCTTACCTATAATGACTTTCACTTTCCTGCTTTCTTGACTGTCTTGATCATTGTAAACACGGCACCAATATGTGCCTTGATGTTCAGCGTCCACACAGGATACCTTTAGGAATACCAGAACATATTCTAAGAAGATATATTTAAAATGCATTCTCAGGCATTACATCATTAGCACGATATACATTTAAATAATGGCTAACAGCATTCCGTGCACTTTGGGGTTTAATCATGCCGGCCACATGACCACGGAGACTGTCTGCAGACAAGCGCTGGCTCCCTCGGCTAGGAAACGGAGATCAGCACCGCCCCCTAGAGTCAGGCATGACTGGACTTAATGTCAAGGGGAAACCTTTACCTTTAATGCTAGTGAAACTAGTTTTAGTGCTCTAGAACACTGAGTTTTAGATCCAAAGTTCTCCAGCTTGAAACATAAAACATAAAACATAGTTTTCCCTAGGGTAGGGGTCTGTGCATATTTCAGAATGGAAGCAAGGTCCCCTATGTTTGGATGCTCTTCCACTCAAAACAAACTTTAACATGAAAAACAAGATGCTGTGAAGAAGGCATTCTTCCCTATTCATTTCCCTGAACATAGAAAACTGGCATTTATTTCTATACCTTTCACTCTCGGAAGGGAAGGGAAGGGTTTTGACCATCTTACCTCAAACTTTTCCACCAGGGGGCAGGCTGGAAAGGTGGTGCCAGCGATGAGTGTGGGCTGGCAAGGGGGAGGTGCGTGCGGGTGCATGTGCTGAGGCAGGCACGAGGGTGGGGGTGGGCACGTGCCGTAAGGTGGGCGCACAAGGCAGAGATCATTTTCTCACGGAGATCACTTTCTCCGAGCAAGCAAACTGCTGTCTCCCTGCACTTGGGGTGAGGTGGGCGGCAGCGGCGGGTGCGCACATGGGTGCGGGTGCGCATGTGGTGGTTACAAATGGGTATGGCGGGCTGGATCCAGCCCCCAGGCCGTAATTTTAGGACCCATGATCTTAACCATAATCTTAGCTGCAGCTTCTGAATCCAACTTTCTTGAACTGTTCTCTCACTAGGACTGCCTTAAATTGGTTGCAAGAGGAAAAAGCTGTTCTATTTCTTATATGAATTTAATGGGGAAATAATTTACTAAAATAGGACAATGACAAATGAAACTATTACCTTATGAAACTAGTAATAAATTAGTAGAGGTCATTGTGTTGGAGGGTTGTATCTACTTATAAGATTGGACACATACTTTATATGTATAAAGCCCTTGTGTACTGTTTCTCTGCCCACCCAGTTCATAGCTTTGGAAATAGGACACCGGCAATTAAACTCCCTTCTGAGTTTAGTATTCCAAAGAGAATCATGCAAACATTATCAGCATGCTACTGACAGAGCACTAGGAAACTAAAGAACATGTTACTTTATAGACAGAATTTCAAAGTTTCAGATAAAAAAAGAACTTATTTAAAAGAGGCTTTGAATTTAAATTTGATAACATTTACCACTTAATTCACAATCAGTATAGCTCAAGGAAAAGAACAGTAACACTCACCATATAAAGCTTTTTATCCCCATTCATCAACGGAGAACCATTTCTGTACCACTGGTACTTGGGCATAGGGGTTCCTATAGCTCCACATTGTAGAACCAGGATTTCTCCTACCATCAAGTTTTGGGACTGTGGATGAATGCAAATATGTATTTTCTTTTCAGTCACTTCAGGATAGTTTCCTTAAAAGAAAAGAAAAACTGAGATCTTTTTAGCTGTTGAAGGTGAAAGTATAACTTCATAGCAAACACAGGTCTGGAACCCAGGCTGCCCTTTCTCTGCAGCAAACTCATAAGGGGAGAGAGGCAAGATTTAATTCTTCACCAGCTGACTGCTTGTCTTCCATGGACACACACTTCCCTCTTGTTCAGCCACTTTTCCAATAACCAGGATTCTGACACGTTCCTACATGGGTCCTCAAACTACGGATCTGGCCTGCCATGCCCATTTGGGCCTGCCAGGCCAATGTGTGCCCCCACCGCCCACCTCACCCCACACGTGGGGAGGCAGCAGTTTGCTTGCTCAGAGAAAACAATCTCCAAGCAAGCAAGCCACTGCCTCGTGCGCCCGCCTCGCGGCGCGTGCCCACCCCCGCCCACACCTCGCCTCCCCTTGCGCATGCCTCGCCCCTGCCTCAGAGCACCCGCGCCAGCCCACGCCCACCGCTGGCACCACCTTTCCGGCCCACACCCAGCACCGGCAGCTTTCAACTGGTCCCCTGGTGGAAAAGTTTGAGGACCCCTGCTTTAATATATCAGGTGTGGAAATAGATTAAGAGTGGGTGAGAGGAGTCAGATCACACATCTATCAAGTCAACATTGCGTTGCATCATTGTATCAAGTCACCATCTCCTGATTGCGTAATGGTAGGTCCACATAAGCCCAGGAATGTATTTGACTTTCATACTTCAGTATATACCCTTTGGAATATGGCTAATGTAATATAACATATAGCACTAAAGCCACCTTTTTTTAACTGAAGTGAGCCTCTAGAAATATAACAACATACTTAAATTATCCAATAGGCATTTGATTTCAACAGACGTAGTTGATAAAAGATTCACATTCTTTTTTTTGCTGAAGAAACGGAAAGAAAATGGAAAACCACATAGCACTTGGATTCTCCTGGAACACAGCATTATATTAAAAAAGGGAATAGTGGTACAAGATTTTAAAACATGTAAAACATTTTAAAGCATGACATTCCTACTTAGTGGTTTGCCGCATGCATATCCTGGGTAAGGTGCACTCATGCAAGGCACGGCTCCCCATGCTGTTTCAGCTGATGATTCAGATGTTAAGGATGAGACTGGTTTTGGAAAGGCTTAAACTCCAGCTGTGCTTCAAGGTCCTAAGATCCAACTGGAGGAAGATTAGCCCAAAGGCATGACAGACCGGTCAACCCAGCTGTGGGCATCTTGAGGAACCACAGCCTGAGGCAGGAGACATCAAAATAGGAAGTCTCTCTGATGGAAAACAACTTCTCCCTGAAACACTAGACCCGGTTTCTCACCATCATCACTGAAGGGAAGCCGAATGAGGGGCACAATGGCAGGAGCACGGGTGTGCCCGTTTTCACAGCAGGCCTCCTCCAAGGTTGAGACACAGAAGGGCTCATAAAGGGAGCTTGGAGAAATGGCAGAAATGGTTCAACACTTCACTTTGTGTATGCTCAGAGACTCATATGTAACAATAAAGATAACGAAGCAAAGAAACACTGGTGAGTTTGATGTTGTTTGGAGGGCAAAACATGGAATGTGGCATTGCTCTAAATTCAAGGCTGTTGCTTCCTTAATGGAATCAGTCTATCCCTTGGTTTGGTCTTCCTTTTCTCCTTTTGCCTTTGCCTTTTCCTAGCATGATTGTCTTCTCCAGAGAGTCTTGCCTCCTCATGAGGTGTTTGCAGTACAACCTCAGTTTTGTCATTTTTGCTTCTAGGGAAACCTGTGGCTTGATCTCATTTGGGACACACTTGTTTGTCTTGTAAGTCCAGGGTATTTGCAAAGCTCTCCTCCAGCACCATGTTCTGAACACATCACTTTTATTCCTCTCAGCTTTCTTTTCTGTCCAACTTTCACACACACAAACACACACGATTGGGAATATAATGGTGTGAGTGATCTTGGAATTAGTCTCCAGTGGAATAGCCTACTTTTTATGATTTTTTCCTAGTTCCTTCATTGCTGCCCTTCCAAATTTCAGTCTTCTTTAAATTTCTTGGCTGCAGTCATCCTTTGAATTGATGGCTGAGCCAAGATATACAAAACCTTTTGCAATTTTGATTTCTTCATTGTTGGAAGTAAAGTTCTGTAATTTTTCTGTAGTCATGATTTTTGTTTTCTTAATATTCAATTGCAGTCTTGCTCTTGCACTTTAAATTTTTACCAATTGCTTTATTTTACCAATGGAAGTGCAGGTGTAATATAGATTGCTTCAGGAGTCAAAGCCTTTGTGCTTTTTAATGCATACAGCAGTCTGGCTTTTTTTCATTATGCAGTGTCCTCAGTAAAATTCTGGGCTACTTCCTACAAAAATAGCATGATGTACTAGCTCATAGTTTAATAAGTATTCTTTTTTTGAGGACTCAAGATAGCTTAGTGATCTTCAGCTGCTGGAAACACCATTACAAGTCATAAGAAATATATGCCACTTGGTCAGGAGTTATAAAGCTGTGGACCTTTGACATTATGATAGGCAACAAATTAAATATAACATTCCCAGGGTACTATAAACTGGGAAGTAACTGAAAAAGTTTACAGAACCAGAAATACAAGTCCAAGAAATCACCAGCTTGGTTAATGAGCAGAATCAAGGAAGCCATTAGGGAGAAAAAAAGCCTCCTCCAAAAGATGGAAGTCTTATTCAAATTTTAAAAAAAGAGAGAGAGAAAGGCCCACCAGACTGTAGATGCAAGCAAATAATCAGATAAGCAAGGAACGTATAGCTAATAACATCAAGGCCAACATTAAAGAATTCTTTAAATATATCAAAAGTAGGAAAGCAGCTAGAGAAGCAGTTGGACCATTGGACATTAACAGAATTAAAAGGCACACTGAGGGGGAATGAGGAGATTGCAGAGAAGTTGAATAAATTATTTTCTTCAGTTTTCCCAGCAAAGGATACAGAGCATATACCTATTCTGGAAGGGAGTCTGGGGAATTAAGACTGATAGTAGTGACCAAGGAAGCAGTTCTCAACCTTATTGACAATCTGAACAACAGCAAATCACCTGGTCCAGACCATATCCATCCTAGAATCCTAAAAAATGAAATAGCTAACCTTCTTACCAAAACATTTAATATGTTGCTAAACAGTCCTTGTATCAGAGGATTGGAAAATAGCCTATTGAACATCAATTTTCCAAAAGGAATACAGGGGAGATCCAGGAAATTACAGGCCAGTTACCTTAACATCCATTCTGGGTGAACTGCTTGAAAGCATCATTAAAGATAGAATCAGTAAACACACAGGGGAACAAGCCCTGATGAGAAAAAGTCAGAATGGCTTCTACAAGGGAAAAACTTGTCTCACAAACATATTGGCACTTCCTGAGAGTGTCAACAAGTAGGTAGACGGGTGATCCAGTAGGCATTGTTTACATGGACTTCCAAAAGGCTTCTGACAAACCCTCATCTGAGCAAACTAAGCAGTCACAGAATAAAAGTGAAAGTCCTGTTATGGCTCACAAATGTTGAAGAACAAAAGACAGATGGTGGAAATAAATGGTAATTTCTCCCAGTGAAGAGATGTCACGAGTGGAGTCTCGTATGATTCTGTATTAAGACTGATTCTTTTCAACCTGTTCATAAATGATCTAGAATTAGGAGTAAGTACAGAAGTGGCCACATTTGCTGATGATACACTGTTTAGAATGGTCAAAACCATAAGGGATTGTGAGCTGCAAGGGATCTCACCAAGTTGGGGGAATGGGCATCGAAATGGCAAATGCAGTGCAATTTAAGTGTAAAGTAATGCATGTTGGGGCTAAAAATCTCAATTACAAGTACATGGTGATGGGAGAGGAACTAATAGTGACTCAGGAAGAAAGGGATCTTGGGTGCTAGTGGACAGCTCAAAAATATCGGCCCAGCGCATGCCTGCTGTGAAAAAGATGAACTCCATGATAGGCTTAATTTGGAACAGAACAGAAAATAGAACTGCCAAGCATTTACTCCCCTTGCACAAACCCTGCATACAACCTCATTTAAGAGTATTGTGCTCCATTCTGGTTGCCTCATCTGAATAATGACATTATTGAATTGGAAAATATACAGAAAAGGGTAACAAAAATTATCAATGGACTGGAGCATCTCCCTGTGAGGAGTGGCTGCAAAACTGGGACTGTTCAGCTTGGAAAAAAGGCAAGAATGAGAAGACATGATAGAGGTGTTTAAAAATTATTCACAGAGTGAAGAAAATTAGAGAGCAAGGAATTTGTCTTGCATAACTCTCAAACATGGGGTCATCTATGAAGCTGACTGGGGGAAGGCTTAGGAAAGATAAAAGGAAGAACTTCTGCACACAATGTGTGGAACTCATTTCCATGGGAAGCAGTGATGGCAACCAATCTAGATGGTTTTTAAAAGGGACTGGACAGGTTCAAGGAAGTAGAGTCTATCTGTGGCTACTAGCATTACTATGTGTTACCTCCTTCACCAGAGGTGACATGCCTGGATACACCAGTTGCTGAGAAACGAGAGCAGGTAGATATCTTGCACCTATCCTGCTTGAGCGATCCTCTGGGCAGCTGGTTTGCCACAGTGCATATGGAATGCTGGACTAGATGGACCTTTAGTCTTATCCAGTATGGCTTGTCTTATCTTTTTATGTAGTAATACAAGGACAGATATAGGAAGCTGTTCTAGAGGCCTCTGCAGGCAAATAATTTTTTGAGTGAAAAAATGCTCAGTTGCAGCATTTGGACATAGAAAATCAAGAGTCTAATTCCCACTCAATTACGAAATTCTCTGTCTGGCTAGAAGCAAGTATCTCTGCGCCTCTCGTTCCACCCCATCTCCTTGTCCCTAGACCATGGGTCCTCAAACTACGGCCCGCGCGATGAATCTGGCCCGCCATGCTCATTTATCCGGCCCACGCCACCACCCAAGCGGGCAGGAAGTGGTGGCTTGCTCACTTGGAGATGGTTTTGGACTCGTTGGGAGATCTCTGAGAGAGTGAGCTGCCGCTGCTGCGCGCCTCCCCCCTGCCCGCCGTGCGCGGGCTCACTGCTGCCTTGCAGAGCGGGCAGGGAGGCGGTGACTTGCTCGCTTGGAGATCTCTGAGTGAGCAAGCCACTGCTGCGCGCACCAAATGCTGCCTTGCGCGTGCCCAACGATGACTCACCAGCCCACGTTCCCAGCCCCCCCCCCCGGCCCACACCGGTCGCACTGCCTTTCAACTGGCCCCCTATTGAAAAAGTTTGAGGACCCCTGCCCTAGACTATCCAACAGGCTATGAGGCAACACAGTTCTGAAGAAGTTTCTTGAAGAAAGGGTAGCATACAATTCTAACAATCATTTATTTGTATGCCAGAGGCACTTAATAAAACATGTCTAACATTACAAAAGGTATAACAAAAATGAAACCACAGAGTAATTCAACGGTTAAATTAATTAGTTAAATCTGAACTAAACTACACCAAAGGTCTTCATACCAAAGAATCATTTTTTTTGTTTCTTATACTGGTCCTATACTCTTTTCAGCACCAGGTGAAAACCTTTTTCTTTGAATGTTATTTTAAAAATTAGGGATTTTAGAAGTTAACAGACTCTCTTTTTTATCTCAATTATTTATATTATCTTTTTCTTTGAATGTATTTTACTTATTTTTAACTCTGTATTTTTATTACTATTGATTGTATTTATTATTATTATTATTTGACTATTGTATTATTGACAGTTTTTATTACTGTTGTGATTTTAAGCTTGTAAGCCATCCTGAGATGCTGCTGTGAAGGACGGGATACAAATGGTTTAAATAAACAAACAAATAAATAAATATTTATTGTTATCCAAAGTCAGAACTTTGGCACAAATTTTTGAAGGTGTTTAAGGCACATTCAGGTTGCAGCCTATCAACAGTATTTCCATATTGGTAATACATATAAAGAATACACCCGTAGATGGTGTAGCAGATCTTCAGTTTCTGAGAGTCCACAAGTACACAGTCATTAATCCTAAAGGATATAGCTACTGATATTTTTCAAAATAGTACAGTTGTAAAAGCCTAAGTCATGAAAATATAAAACCTACAAGGGCTTTCACATAGTTACATTTACAAAATCCATAAAAGCTCAAAAATGACTTGTTTCTTCATCATTATGTTTTGATCAAAAATCTTTTTTCACAATTCTAAGAAATCAAGGAGATCCTCCAAAACTGAGTAAGATCAAAGGTCACTGAGTTGATTCAATCTGGTATGCAAGAATGAAGGCTAAAATATAACTTAGATAAGAAACTTACAGATGCATTTTTTCTCCTTTTCAAAAAATTAAGACTAGCACAGTGCGCTTGTGCTGTACTTAGAGAAGAGACCCATTTCTCTCTGAACTATGTTGCTGGGATGTCTTAAGGTAATACAAATATTTTCCAAAGGAAAGAATTTTTAATAATTCGTACTGGTCAAAACTTTTCTTACTTACCATGATAAGTTCCTTGCATATCACAAACATCCAGTTGTGCCCATTGGGTGAACTCATAGGAAGAGTCACTGTTCACTCGGCATATGTAAAATCCAGCATCCTCTGCAGTCACTTGGTTGATCACCAGTTCTGGGGAATTCCCATGTGGAATCTGAGTTGAGTTGAATAAAAAAGGATGGTTTAGCACAAATTGCAACAGTGCAGGATAAAACACCAAAGCACCTATTTTCCATATAAGAATGATTTAAGCCAGCCACCTAAGAAAAAGGACACCTTGCAACCCTCACATTTTTCAATTCATTCTAACAGCTTTGCATTTCACCCATCTTCCAAGGAACTTGGAGGTATCCCATTTATCACCACAACCACTCTGTGAGGCTCATAAGGTTATTAGGTGAGCTTCAGAATTAAACCGATTTGAAAGACATGAATGGAGCTTGAGAATTAATTCACAGCAGCCTATTTCTGCTTAATGCATACCAGCAGCATCTAGGAGGATCTGCAAAACTACCCTTGGCAGGTTGTGGTGTCATGCAATGGGTAACAAACCATGCAAAACCAATAGGTTATAGGGTCCTAGATGCCTTGCTACCATGGCAAAAAGCCATGCTGTCTGGGTTCATGTGACACAACAAGCTAATCCCCTCAACATGGGACTGGCACAGGCAGAAGAGTGAATAAGCCACCATGGCTTATTAGACATCCTGCGATCACGTGAACTAGGTCAAGGTCTCTCTCCAGTTCAGGTGCAGTGGAGTGGTTAAGAATGAAGAGGTACAACCCTAATGTTATGTTGAGATCTTAAGTATGACATAAGAACAGTTGGCCAGAATTGCAGGCACAAGTGTTCACCAACGAAGTGACAATATCATTTGACCTCACAGACTTGTCATTTTACCAACAGATGGCTGAACTTGGAATGGATAAGAAGTTATGCTTCTGCTCAGCCACAAATTTGCTAGTCATAGGCAATCATGATAAGTTTCCTATCAATAAAATGGCACAGTTGAGAATATGGGTGGTATGAAAATCACTTTCCACATTTCTGCATCACCAAACATTTGTGCACACTAAATATCCCCCAGTTAACTCTCTGGGCAGTTTACAAATTTAGAAGACATATAAACAGTAAAATAATCAGATTTAAATAAATAATTAACAATAAATCCAATGCAACAATATTAACAACTAGATACACAACACAGCAGCAGTAATAAAGTATTAAAACAACTCTTATCTATTAAGTATCTGGAAAATAGAAAGGTTTACATTTCATACAATAAAAACTGCTGACTTCCTTTCCCACTAGGCTCACTTCCTCCCACGTCCTCTTCAGGTTGTTGAAGTGGATGTGAAAGTAGGTGGTGGTGGGAGAGGAAATCAGGTGTTTAGGGAGGAAATCAGTGACACAGAGAGAAAGCAAACTTTTGCAGGGGTCTCAAAGGTCTACTGGGAGTGCTGGCAGGTGCTGCATTGGTGATTCCTGATTTATAAGCCCCAACCTAAGTAATTATGAGCTGGTTTAACCAGCTTTTGGCATCAGATTTGAAAAATGGACTCAAGCTGTTTCAGGATAACAAGGGCTTTAACCCTTTCCATAGAAACAAAAACGACAAAGCTGAAGTTGTCATACTTTGGGCACACCATGAGAAGGCAAAGCTCCCTGGAGATGGCAGTCATACTAGAGAAAGTTGAAGGCAGAAGGAAAAAAGCACAACCAAAGATGCAATTGACTGACCACAGAAGAAGCCACAGTGTGGGATTTACAAAAGCTGAACAGGGCTGTCATTAATAGGCCATTCTGGAGAGCTTTCATTCATAGGGCCGCCATAACTCAGAGATGACCTGATGGCACCTAACAACAAAACCTGGACTCAAGCTATTTCAGGATATTTTTGCTATTTTATATCATTTCCAAGGATTTCAACAATCAAGATCAATAAAGTGAATCAGTTAGGTGTAAAAAATTGGCAACTGCCTAATAGTTGTGAAAGACCCCACAGAGCTACCCTATTAAGAAAATGGTACATGCGTTTCAGAAAATGGGTAACAGGTAATTTGGCATATCAACTTAAGCACAACATTGATTTAAAGTCAGGTTATTATTTTCTTTAACAATTGATGGCCCCACTGAATCGAAAAGAGAGTAATCATGTTACAGCACAAAAGTTCCTGGATAAAGGGAGGAGGAAATTATCACAACAGCCCTTGAACAGAATATTGGTACCTCAGACCTTGTAATAATCAGACGTTTGGAATTCTGCTGAATATAAGGTGATTGCTGTCTTTAAGCCTTAACTTACAGAATGTACATTACAATTTGTGGTATTGCCAGGTCACTAGGACCCCTAGTATCTCATAGCCATTCTTTGGCGGACTTAGGAGATGGGCCTCATCTCACTCAGCCTTTAGAAAGACGCATCTTTTTAAGTCAGCTTTTTTTAAAAAAAGAATTTTTTTTACCATTCTTAATGCTCAGGTTCCATCACTTAAAAACCAGATGCACATCACATCAAAACAGCACTGTTTAACCTGGCTATTTAAGTGACCAACCATTTTGCTATGAACCTGCCTGAGTATTAGTATTACAGAAGAGACCCCTTTGAAGGCCCAATTACACCAGAGAGCCATCTGTCAGGCATACATGGGAGGCCTTTATCCTGTGATCCACCAAGTTATAGGACATCCTCCCTTCAGAATTATGATTTGCTCCTACTCCCTTAGCCTCTAGAATGGGTATACAGGCACCTCTATTCACTCCTTTAAAATATGTACTCCGTAATGTTTAATTTTTTTTAATGTTCTTGTTTTATCACTGCAGAGTTTTACTGTTTTGAACTGCTGCACACTGCCTTGATACCTTTTAAATAATAAATACATTTTTAAATTTCCAGTGAAAATGCACAGGACTACAGCCCAAAGGTGATCACACATGTCCATGCAATATAAATACTATGATTATTAAACTCTAGGCTTAAAAAGAAATTACCTATTTAGAGTAGGCAATGATTGAATGGTTCTCAAAAACAGTAAACAAATGCAGGTAAATATATCATGCATGTTTTTGTCTCAGTTTATCTTGATCAAAATTAAAAATGATGTCAATCATAAATCATTTAAATTTTCCCCTGAAATAAGTGGTTGTCAGCAATAAGATCATAAAGCAGTGGCAGGTACTTTATTCACATTTACTTGCCATAATGGAAATGTCTCAGCCCAGAAGGCAACAATTAATATCCATATTTTAGTTGCATGCTACTAACATAAATTCTGCATTTTTTTCATGAGTGCTGCTGTTATTCTGGAACAATGATCCTCAAAATGTACAAAATGTGAATCAAAGTTTATTTTAAAAACTGTAAGATCTGAGAAACTATCTGGCCTTGTGAGATGTGTCTGTTTTCTAATTCATTTCACTATCATCACATTTTCAAAACAGCTACAACCATAAGGACTGGAAAAATATTTTTAAATGTGAGCTGGAATTTTAAGAGATTCTGAGATGGAGAGCACAGAAATCTCCATGGGTCTTATGTTGTCTACCCCTCCTGTAAATCCAAAGAGGAAAAAACTGCATTTTCAGTCCAGTCCATGGATCTTCTCCATCTTGCTTCGGACTACGAGTGTGACATGGCTGTCAGAATGTTGGGCCGGGGACCCGGATGATTTGGATTTAGTCTCCACTCAGCCATGAAGTTCATGGGGTGAACTCATGCACAATCAGCCTTATCTATCTCACAGGGTTGTTGTGACTCTAAAATGGAGAGGGGGGCTATGTAAGCTTCATTGGATTGCTTGCAAAAGGGAAAAAGTGGGATATCATCATGATCATCATCATCATCTTAGTATGTTTACCATTTTGCCACCTTTAAACCACTGATAATATAGAAGAGGATAACCAGCTGCCCAGCAGCTCAGCTTCACCATCTGTCCAGACAACACTGCGTGAGATTCTGGTTCTACTACTATTTTTATACCTGTAAAAAAAAGAGAAGGCATTGTACAAATCATGCTTAATACAGAAGATCAATTAATTTACATTAGATGCCTCTTCTTTAACATATCAACTTATCTAAAAGTTTGCTATCAGTTATTCCACTCATAAATCCTAATCAAATCAAGAGAAAATAAATACTTTACTACTTGTTAATAATAATAATGAAATCACTATATAAAAAATACTGCATGTCTGAGAAAGCAACTGCCAGTCAGAATGGAACACGAAACTACACTAGATGGACCAACATTTTGACTCAATATAGGTGGCTTCCTCTGTTCAAGAGCAATAGCTGTACTGAAATTTAAGACATAAACATTAAGAAATGTTTATTTACAGATCTTGAATACACAAAGGCATTTTGGCTGATTTTTTCCTACCTTCCTCTCACTTAGCAAAGTAATTTTCAATGTTCATAGCATTCACATGTTTGGAAATGGAGAGGATGAACATTTTATTCAGACACATTACTAGCTATGCACTTTAGGCCAGATTTAAACTCTCTCTCATGACAAAAGCTCAGGAGTGTGAATCAGGATGGGAGCACAGTAGTTTAACTACCTCCTTCAAGAAGCAAAGTGTAAACAAAAACGCTAGTACTGGAAAGTATTCAGAAATGGGCATAGTCCCAGTATGGCTTAGATCAGGGGTCTCAAACTCAATGTACCTGGGGGCCGCTGGAAGTAGAGGCTGGGTGAGGCTGGGCCGCATCAAGTATTCCACCACTGCGGTGGTGGTGGGCTGCTCATCCCGCGTTGCTCCCGGAGGCCAGCCCGGGCGCCGCCGGCGCTTTGAAGGCCGCAGGGCCCCTCCCCCGTGCCCCGCCTGTCCCCACAATTGGCCCGCGGGCCGCGAATTTGAGACCCCTGGCTTAGATCATCTATATCTATGAACTTTTATAACTGTGCATTCATTTAGCAGTTTCTATTTCCCTAAATCAGTTCCTGCTATAAAAAACACTGTAACCTTGACAGCATTTCATTAAAACTTCCATATAAAACAACTCATAAACCCAAGAACCAATGGAAAATAACTATGCTATTCCTCTTTACTTGCAGCCATACAACCTGTCAGAGAATATTTCCTGTATTTAAAATTTTAAATCAAGAAAGTAAAACTGCAATGCAGTTACTTGACCTGCTATATTTAGACTTTATTAGTAAATAGTAATTATCCCCCTTTGCTTTCTCAAAACTCACACAGGCCAAGTGTTACTTAGAGTTCTCAGATGCATCAATTAACTAATGATTTTGTGGGATTTTTATGCTACAGAATTCCCATAAATATCAAGCAAGGGAAAATGCCATTCTTGTTCAGCAACCTCACAAGGTGACAACTGGCAACACATCAGCTGCATTCATCTGAACAGTCTCTGGCTGATAATTAACCTAATCCTTTGTGTACTCCTAGATTTCTACCATAGCTACAGACATCTTGCATGCCATGTTTGGGCACTTCTTCCCTATTCTGTTGCCAGTCATACTTAATTTGTAAGTGGTCACTTCCAAATGATGGGCATGTGAAATTAAATACAGAAAAGAGCTATCTCAAGTTGTTCTCCTCATCATGCCCACCTGTAGCAATTCTATACTAAAACAAGAGTCTTGCACAATGCCTCTAATCCAGTGACTGGAAGTCGCACGTAAGATCCAAGCCACCCTAGCGAGTACTTGCAGTGCCTGCCCACACCTCAACCTGGCAAGATGGCTACGGTTGCTGCTGCTGCTGTTCCAACCCATCCTAAAAACTTATTTGGCTTTCACTTGCTTATGGCATCAAAGTAGGGGTTTGAAAGACTCCTGAAAATACTTTTGGCCTATGTAGAATTCCAAGAGCTAGTCACTTAATGGGAAGGTTCACACAACAAGACAAGCCATAGCAGTTTTATGACACTGTTGGTTTCTCACGCCATCCAAACCTGTTGTGGCATTTGGAATGTCTGTGGCATGTGTGGTACGTTTGGACTTTAGCAACCACAAAACGCAACAGTCTGTTCATGGTTTCTCCATATCATGATGGCTTTTGTGTTACCCAAACCCAGAAAGCAGAACCCATCATGTGCAAAAGCCACAACCAGAAAGCCACTTGGCAAGATTAGTTGTTGCCCCCTTTGCCAAGTGGCTAGCCACAGCTTTTATGCTACAAAGATCACAGGTGCCCCAGATCTTCTTTGGGGCAGGAGTGGGCAATCAGTGGGCAGCACCGTGGAAAGGAGTAGCACTACTCAGCTTCTTCCCTCACTGCCCCCCATTCTTGCTCCCACCCCATGGCACTGAACTGGGGATGCCTTTCTGGCAAATGAGGGAATAAGCTGAAGAAGGGTGAGCACTGCCTCCCCCTCATTACAGCTACTTGCAAGACAGGCTGATGGATACCAGGCTAGGGACACCGTTTTCACAAGCAGAAGCAAGAAAGGTGGGCAAGCAGAGCAATCAGCATCCTCCAACCAGGCACCACCAACCAGCTGATTCCCCCCCCCATGCCATGCACAAGGTACTTATCTCAGGCATGTGGGGGCAAGGGGGAGCAGCTTCTATCTGCAACACTACCCAGTGATTTACACACACCCCTGACAAATGCTTGAGCAGGCACTTCTGTCAGGCATCTCCTTCCTGTTCCAGTGGTCCTCTCTGGACAAAGAATAAAGGGTGCCTGATAAGCTCCCCCATCTTCTCTGCTGTGCTTCAGGGCAGGGGCTCTGTTTTCACAGCAGACACTGTTAGCAGCAGTGAGGAGATGAACGCTTCTGGCAAGCACAGCTGTCAAAAAGGGGAGTCTGCTTCCTTCCTGGGATACCGCCTGGAGGATTGAGAGGGAAGGAGATGGCAGGAGAGGGAAGAGTTACCTACATGAGCCTGACTGAAGTTACTTCAATGTGCCTGACAAACTGTGGTAACTGCACATGGTTGTTTGTTGTGACATGCACATCCACCCAGTATGTGAAAAGCAGCCTCTGAACTTTCAGAGCTGTAAAGCAGGGATGCACAACCTGCAGCCTGGAAGCCACATGCAGCCCTTTAAGGACTTTACTGTACTCCATCCTCCGAGAATCCTGCCTCTACCAATTTCTCATGACTGAACTCCCTCTCCCAGAGCTGCTGTCACTTCTAGCAGTAAAAAAAGAACGGCTGCTGTGTGCATGCATGTAGGCACACATGCACATTTGTGCATACATGTGCACCCACCAGTTCTCAAGCCAGCATCACACGTGGCCCTTGGAGTGAAAAGGATTGTATTTTATGCTTCAAGGATTCTCTCCAGAGAAAAATTAAGAAGTCTGGACAAATATAAACAAAACAGACAAATGGAGATGAACAAGGGTCTGTATGATTTCAAACTCTTTTGCAATTATTCCCATGTTAGAAGGAAGACTTGAAACTCTTAAAAGGCACACCACCCAAGTGGCTTTTAATGTTTTAAGCATAAGGTATAAATTATCTTTAAGAAAGCATTAAGCCCGTCACAGAAAAGTGATATATTTTCAAAAACAAAACTCACTAGGAGGACTGAGACACTGAAATGCCTCACTATGTTCTAGGGTCTGCAGCAGTTCTGTCAGTTCCTGCACAGTACAGCCTCTTTCACCCATTAGTTGAAGAAGACTCCTGCTGGGACTTCCTTCAGGCTCCAGCACCTGGAGAGAACATTGCTCCAATTCCAGGGAACTGAAAAGAATTGTACCATGTTAAAAAAATGTGCTGGTATGTATATTTATACATATGATTAATTACAGGAATTAAAACTACTCTCCAGTACAATGTAACTGCAAAAAGGTTCTTTTACCAAGAAATGTCACTAGAACCAGGTATATGAACATGGACTTCACAACTATTGATGCAAAATATTGCCTCAATATTACTTCACGATTCCTTTAAATAAGGGCATGACCACATGGCATATCAAGTAAACATTACTCTCTAGTAACAGTGATGACCAAGGTTGCTTAATAGTAGAACCTTGTGTATAAAAAGTCAGATCACATGGGATGACAATCCAAGTGTAAAACAATCAATCAACCTGGTTTGTAGTGAATGAACAAGTGTGCAAGTACTTGCTGCCCCAGGACATTTCTGGCTTGTTTAGTATAACATGTGAACCAGGGATTCTTGCCTGTTGGGACAAAACGAAGCCAGACCTGGCACTCAAGCTTGTCTCTGATATGCCAGAGTTCCTAGTTTACGTGTAATACTAAACAACCTAAGGACTGAGTGTTACTGTTTATTTAGTATGCACCAGTACACTGCTGCATTGTAATACATGAAACAAACCATTCTGTCTTAGCTTTCTAAGACATGCACTTCTATTTCTAAGACAAATCTAAGATTCTAAGAGTTCTAAGACAAATCTACATATGGTAGATTTACTGCAGTGGCTCAAACAATTGAAAGACTCTGTATCAACCCAAGACTTCATAGAAACTTCTGGCATCAGCCAATTGCCAAGTACCAGATCAGTGCCCCCCCCCCCCCGAACAACAGAAAGAAAGTAGGATTCACTTGAACCTATACATAACAGAACACAGCACTTCAGGAGACATCTACAACATTTGAATTGGCTCACTAGCCATCCCTGATTTAGGTTACCAGTGACTTGTTTGCCTCATCCAAGTCCTCTGCAGGCAGGCCAGAGGTGACTTCAGGTTTTTCAGTGTCCTTGGGCAAGCCATCTCAGTGAGTCTTTCTTCTCCCTGCCACTGTTACGAGGTGCTATTGCTTCTTTTCTCTCATCCTTACTTGACTGACAGCAGAGTCAGTGAGCACATAGCTTATGGTATTTCCCACTCCCATTGCTCAGCACCACCATTGCCTGGACAGGAGCAACAGGCAGACAAACAAGCTAGTTGCAGCAGTGAAGAGAAGCAGCAGGTCCTGGAGACTTTTGTCAGTGATTCTCTGCTGAGGTGTGGGAACACAGCAGGTGCCTGACTATGCTCACCTTTGATGTGGACCCTGTAGGGCACTCATTCTCAACAAGGGTTTTGAAACCAGCAGATGCAATGCAGCTTTGTCACCTCTCAGAGTAGCAAAACAAGACTTTGTTGACAGCACCTGGTACCCTAGATCTGTTATTGTGAAGGCAGTCTGATCTAACTATACATCTGATTTTACTATCAGATGGAAAGTGGTATAAAAATATAAAATAAAATTATGACGTTGGAAAGAAAACAGAGGGATCTCCATATTCTTGGAATGGCAGTCCAGAGAAACCAAAGCAATACTGATTTGTTCAGTACTGGGCTGATCATTTTATTATACTTAAAAATTGTTGTGAACAACCTAGAAAGCCTTGGCTGTTGAGCAGTATATAAATTAAATAAAAAATGAAGCAGGTTGCCTGGAAAATGTTGAAGCAGAAACACTTCCAGTGAATCAATTGTTGCCCTAAATAAATGGAAACAGCATGTCTAGCTGACTTACAATTGTAAACAAAACTAATAAAGTATTAATTGTACCTGCTGTTTAAATATATGGATTATTTGATTTTATGAGTCTGAGAGAAAATCAATAACATGTATTTCATGCTGTTTATTTGACCAGATTCAAAGCTTTACTTGGAAATAACTTTTACAGGAGTATGTAGGAATATTTACGACACAACAATTCAACAAAATAGTCTTAATTGCATTGTTTAAATACTGAGAGAAAAATGAAGATAGTGAAAACTAGCAACATTCTAAGTTCAGTGTGCCTGAAGAGCTGCAAACAGAAATATATACCTTCCTAGTTATACTCACCTGAAGAACAGGTAATTATAGGCTTGAGTTTAGTTTTGACTAGTGTTGCATCAATCCTAGTTGCTCAATTAGATCTAAACTGTTGTGTCCATTCATTGTTACTGATTAATTTGATGAAACAACACATTCCAAACAGGTAAACTGTTCACCCTGCATCACTGGTTTCGTCCCTTGGAGCCTGATCTGTCCGCTGGTTCTATCTGGTTCTATCTCTCACAGAATAGCAGACGAGAGCTCCTTTTTGGGGATGACAATGTAATAAACTAAATTCAACCGGATGTGCAGAGGAAGATTCAAAACTGTGCACAAGCATTCATTTGGGGCTTAATGGGAAGACCTTGGTCTTAAGCACAATGTACCACTTAGCCAACATTCCCCAAACTTCTAATACCTGTGATACATTCACCTACCCCAACCCACCTAAAATTGGAGTTATTTCACTTTTACATCTGAAAGGTTTGCCTTTCCAGTGAAGAAAAGGGAATTATGCAGTCTTGGATATGCCCATTCACCCTGTTTTTGCATGAGTCACTTACCTGGACATGGCCAGAGCAGTGTCTTATACCACCATGCAATGGGAAGCTTCCTTTCACAGAAGGCAATTTTGCTATATGCCTGAGCTATATGCCAAAAGTGATTGTAAGACTGGATCTTAGCCAATGCAAAATTGTACCAAGATTAGCTACCTCCAAGAGCTGTGCAATTCAGAGTTTTGGCCAGAGCCTTAAGAAGTTTCTTTCAACATACAGGCTGAGACATACAGTATAGGACACAATCATGCTATTACAAGGGACAACCTCTATGAGAAGCGAAACCTGTTTTCTCAACTCAACTACAGTATCTTTGCCACATAGAAAATTAATTAGATATATCAACGCTATGACACCCTTAAATATAGGCATCTAACAAATCTAAATTTGAAAGGTACCAATTAAGAGCAACTCAGCTTATATCCCTGCTTAACTGTGGAATGCAATCAGCCTCATAGAGTCACTGTGGAATAAAATGAAGTAATTCATATGGGTACCACCATTAGCTCCTGGGGGCAGAAGCGGGAATGAGAGGATATTAATGCAATAATTTATCACTTTGTGTCCTGACTTTAACGCTGCCTATTTGCCCATACTTTATACCAAAATTCTAGCATCCTTATTTGTTTTTGCCAAACTATTGGTTTAGCCTAAAATACAGACACAGGAAGCTACGAGATCAGAGACTCTACTCAGAAGTTGACAGAAGTTCCCCAAGACTTTCATGTTACATGCTACCTGATTGTTTTGATAACTGGAGGTACCACTGATTGACTTTGGAGACTTCCAGCATGGACTCTACTTGTCATGAACATCTTTCTTCTCTCTTTCCTGCAGTTGAAACTTTTAGAATCACAGTCCTTTATTGGTGGTCAGCAGATTTAGAAGCAGCATAAATCTGAGTAACGATACCGTAGAGTAAGTAGGAGTAGCTTTTGCCTATATGAAGAGTTGAATGCAAACTGAAACAATCCCTTCCTTTCCTGAAAGTTCTTGACTCACTACTTAAAAGCCAGATGGCAGGAATGTCTGACATTACTTAATTGGCCTACCTGTTTAGCCTTTTCACAGGGTCAAATAATTCCTCTTCTTTTTCTACCCTTCCCTGTTCTTACAGTATCCCCCCACCCCTCCTTACCCAAGATAGTTTGGTTCTCACACACTAGCCCATAGTATTGCTTGGTAAACTTGACAGTTCACTCCTCCTCTTCTTCCTCAGAGTCCAAACTAGTTAGCTGGGAATGCTCTATTTTGAGAGAGCAGAGATTCATCTCCACACTGAGTTATGGTGGGTATTTGAAGGTTCACCCATCCCTTCTGAACGTTCTATAAAACTTTCAACCTTACGCCAAATCAAAAATGCTTATTGGGTATTTTCAAATCCATCTCAACCCTTCCCCACTAACCTGTTTCTTCCACACCTGCCCATCACTCCTTGTTTCTAGTAATCCCACTGGGGTAATTATCTGTATTCCAGACCCTCAACATTGACTGCTCATATGCAGATTTCTTCCCCACCTTTTGCAGACAAAGTACCCATACCTAGCTTTAATCTCCTCAGAATTCTTCAGGGTATGCCAGGTAAGGAATGACTTGTCCTATCAAATGCTGCCCAGTGTGGAACATTTCAGTTACCTAAGCAGGACAGCAACCTTCCTTCACTTGCAGGGCTCTTATGCCCTGAATATTAGTGACAAATAGCCTTTCAACAGGTAAAGGTATTCTATTTCTTCACTTGTTGAATTTCTGCATAATTTCAAAGGTACAAAAACCCTGTCAAAGAATAGTGGGGGGAGAAAGGTGCCAAACCCATTCTAAACTTTCTTGAAAAAAAAATAGCCTTGATGGATCAGATCAAAGGGGAGCTAGTCCAATATCTTGATTCCCAGAATGAACCAGATCCCTTTAGAAAGTTCATAAGTAGAGCAGGATATGAGGGCATTTCTTATCTTTCTTATCATTGTTTCCCAATGATCAGGTCTGAGCTTGGAAGCAGCATTGAACCATCATGACTAGGAGCCAGTGATAGCCTTTTTTGGCCACCTTGATGGCTGTTATTCTGGCAGAAAGGCATGATATCTATATGCAGATGCATATAAATACATGCATTTTGGGGTGATGCACTTCCCCTTTTGGAAGCATCCATAAATGGCCATCCCAGTTGCCCCCTCCCCAAGCCTGCCAGGTCACCATATACCACCTGTGCTCTTTGCTGCAACCTAAACCTCAAAGCAGCTTTGCGTAACCTGAAAATTTCCACTGCCTTAGCCACAAAAGCAGTGCTAGATCCTCAAAGATCTGGGGCTGAGGCCTACAGATCAAAAAGTAAAGCACACTTTTGCATCTACCACTGTACACAAGCTCTTAGTTTTCCTGTGTGCCTTACAAGAGCATGTTTTTGAAGTGCACCTCTATGGGGAGAGGAAACTTGATTTTACCGGGCCGGGGGAAATTAAAGCAGAAAGTAAATAAGAGAAGCTGCAGTAAGAGAAGCACCTATGGGCAAACGGCCAGCGAATCCAAGAGGGTCAGGTGTGGCGGGGTTCATCAGGACCCCCAGACCTTTATTTCAGCAGGTGCCCAAGGCCACCTGGGTGTGGAGTCGATGACTTCCCAGAGATCGGGGCCCCCCACGAAAGATGCGGGGCTCCAGCCCTAAAGGGCTGCTCACTAACCCTGCCTGTGGACAATCCTGACCGGGGGTCCCAGCCCTAGCGGGCTGCCCCCTAACGCTGTTCAGCAATCCCCCCGCCCCCGCCAACGGTCAGAGCATCTCCCCGAGACAAGCCGCACAAACGGAACCCCTTCACACGCGCACCGACACACCTCTCCGCCCGGCCCAGCGGCAGCCCCTCACCTCAGCCTGACCCCGCCTTGGCTCCCGGCTAGCTGGGCCAAGTCCCTCCAGCCTTTGCCCGTATCCGCCTGGTCCAGCAGGTGGCTGAGTTTCCTCAGCAGGGGCTCCGCCAGGCGGTTTATGGGCAGGGGGGCGGCCGGCAGCGAGCACGCCATCCCGGGAGAAGGAGGCTTCCGCCGCTCGCTCGCTCCAAGAAGCCGCGCCGCGCTCGCATTTACTGCGGTGCTTAAGCCCGAACGATTTTGCGAGGAAGCAGAAAGGAAGGAAGAAACTCTGCCGGGCGTGTTGAGGGCGGGCCGGGGGTGCGGGAGGAGGAGACATGGCCGCCGCCGGGCGGGCGCAGGAAGCCGCGGAGGCGGGGGGTTCCCCTTCGTGGCAGGAAGCCGGGGGGGGGGGGCGCGAAGCCGGCGTCGCCTGTCGCGCGGGCGGTGGGCGGCGAGGGCGAGGCTCCCCCCGGCCGAGGCCCCGCCGCTCCGCACGCGCTGCTTCGGCCTGGGCCCTCCTGTAGGTTGTCCGCAAGACTGGGCTGGCGGGAGATTGTCATCGCTGCCCGGAGTGTACATGCCTGTAAAATGGGGGAAGAGGAGGGGATATGTAACCTGCCTGGAGGTTTTTGCAGGGACAAAATAAAAGTGGGATACCAAAATAGTAAATAAATTTTAGCAATGTGGCCAGACAGCTGACATACATACATAAATACATTATATAGCTTTCGTATATCGTCCTTCATTAAAAAGTCCCAGCACGGAAAATTATTGATCACAATTATTGATAACTTAAGAGCAACACCCACCTGCCCATGTGCCCCAGCAACTGGTGTCCAAAGGCATATAGCCACTGATGCTGGATGTAGCAAATAGACAGTCAGACCTAGTAGCCATTTACAGGCTTCATTAATTTCGGTGGCTTTGACTACATCCTGTGGAAATGAATTCCACAGTCTAATTAGGTGAGAATAAGTATTTGGTTTTTCTCTGTACTGAATTTCCCATCAAGCAGCTTCCTGGGATTACACTGTTGACTTCTTGTACTGTGGGTGAGGGAGAACAATTAAAATGGCATCATAGGTACTTCCATATATTAAGTCCAACTCTGTGCTGTCAATATGGCAGCTCTTAAGCCACTCTTCCTGAAGAAATCAGGGATTGAGCTTCTGCATGCAATGCATGTGTTCTACCACTGAGCTATGGGTGCTTTTTATTCCTTGTCTATTTATTTATTTATTTATTTATTAAAACATTTTTATGCCGCCCCATTCGCCGAAGTCTCGGGGCGGCTTACAACATCGATAAAACAATAAGCTAAAATCCATATAAAATAATCTTAAATAAAACACACATTATAAAATAAGCCGCCCTGGCCAGATAAAATTCAATTATATTTAGCATTTAAAATGTTGCTTAAATAAAAAGGTCTTAGCCTGGCGCCGAAAAACAAATAACGACGGCGCCAGGCGGACCTCTCTGGGGAGCGCATTCCATAACTTAGGCGCCACCGCTGAGAAAGCCCTTCTCCGAGTAGCCACCCTCCTAATTTCTCTCATGGAGGGCTCCCGGAGAAGGGCCTCTCCCGCCGATCTCAGGGGGCGACTGGGCAAATATGGATGTAAGCGCTCCTTCAGGTAACCAGGACCCAAGCCGTTTAGGGCTTTATAGGTCATTACCAACACCTTGAATTGGGCCCGGACTTCAATGGGGAGCCAGTGAAGCTGACGGAGAACTGGCGTCATGTGAACATAACGTCCAGTCCCCGTCAGCAGCCTGGCAGCTCTATTCTGAACCAATTGAAGTATCCGGACCATCTTCAAGGGTAGCCCCACGTAGAGCGCGTTACAGAAGTCAAGACGGGAAGTCACCAGCGCATGAGTCACTGTTGCAAGGCAGTCGTACTCCAGGTAGGGGCGCAGCTGATGAATCAGCCGAAGCTGGAGGAAAGCGCTCCTCGCCGCTGTTGTCACCTGAGCTTCAAGTGAAAGCTCCGGGTCGAGGAGCACTCCCAAGCTGCGGACCTTGTCCCTAGGAGGGAGTGCAACCCCATTCAGGACAAGGTTCAGGTCACCTTCTCCGAAGCCCGAACCGCCATCCAACAGGACCTCCGTCTTGTCTGGATTGAGCTTCAGTTTATTGGCCCTCATCCAGCCCATTACCTCGGTCAGGCACCGGTTCAGTACAGCCACTGCCTCACCTGGATTGGTGGAAAACGAGAGGTAGAGCTGGGTATCATCAGCATACTGATGGGTCCGCAGCCCACACCTCCTGATGACCTCTCCCAGCGGTTTCATGTAGATATTGAACAGTAAAGGGGACAAAATGGAACCCTGCGGTACCCCATGGCAAAGCTGCCATGGCGCAGAGCCATAGTCCCCCAACACCACCTTCTGGAATCGGTCGTTGAGATAGGAGCGGAACCACCGCAAAGCGGTGCCTCCGACCCCCAATCCCGCCAGCCTATCCAGAAGGATACCATGGTCGATGGTATCGAAAGCCGCTGAGAGGTCCAGGAGAACCAACAGGGACGCACTCCCCCTGTCCTTCTCCCTGCACAGGTCATCGTACAGGGCGACCAAGGCAGATTCAGTACCGTACCCGGGTCTGAAGCCGGACTGAAATGGGTCCAGATAATCAGTTTCATCCAAGAGTGCTTGGAGTTGTCCCGCCACCACCCGCTCTAACACCTTGCCCAGAAACGGGATGTTGGCCACTGGTCTATAGTTAGCGGCCATCCCTGGATCCAGTGATGCCTTCTTCAGGACCGGTCGGACTACCGCCTCCTTTAAAGGGGCAGGCACCCGACCCTCCCTCAGAGAAGCGTTAACCACTTCCAAGATCCAGGTTCCAATCCCGTGCTTGGAATCCTTTATTAACCAAGACGGGCAAGGGTCCAAAAGGCAAGTGGTAGGACGTACTCGTCCAAGCACCTTGTCCACATCATCGGGCCGCAATAACTGAAATTCATCCAATAATTCTGGACCAGACGGCAGCGTTGGTGTCTCCCTTAAAACCTCTGAATCAATAGTGGAATCCAGCTCGTGACGAATCTGAGCGATTTTCTCCCTAAAATGCTCGGCAAAGTCGTCACAGCGGGACTTTGAGGGTGGAATCAGCTCTTCCTTTGGCCCTGGGTGAACCAGGCCTTGCACCACTCAAAAGAGCTCCGCCGGACGGCATTGTGAGGAGGCAATGGAAGCGGAGAAGTGTCTCTTTTTCGCCGCCCTCACCGCCACAGCATAGGCCCGATAGTGGGCTCTTAAGTGTGTTCGGTCAGATTCATCCCGTGATTTCCTCCACCTACGCTCTAGCCGTCTCCCAACCTGCTTCATTGCCCTCAATTCTGGAGTGTACCAAGGGGAAGAGCGGGCTCTGCCCGGTGGGAGAGGACGCTTAGGAGCGATCGTGTCTACAGCCCTGGTCATCTCCCCATTCCACAGTTCAACCAGAGCCTCGACAGGAGCACCTGTCTTGTCAGCCGGAAACTCCCCCAGAGCCTTCAGGAATCCTTCCGGATCCATCCGGCTCCGGGGGCGGACCCACACAATCGGGTCTGCACCCTTACAGAGGGAGATGTCGCTCTCGAGCACAAACCTCACTAGGAAGTGATCTGACCATGACAGGGGAGTCAAGCATAAATTCCTCACCCTCAGACCACCCTCTTCCTGCCCCGTCGAGAAAACCAGGTCCAGAGTGTGTCCACGTTCATGGGTCGGGCCGGTGACATGTTGAGACAGCCCCATGGCCGTCATGGAAGCCATGAAGTCCTGAGCCGCCCCGGTCAGACTAGCCTCGGCATGGATATTGAAGTCCCCCAGGACCAGCATCCTGGGGGTCCTCAACACCAGGTCCGAGACAGTTTCCGTCAGCTCAGGCAGGGAGACTGTTGGGCAGAAGGGTGCACGGTACACCAACAGAATCCCCAATCTGTCTCGGTCGCCCAACACCAAGTAGAGACACTCCAGCCCTGGTCTTGAAGGGACAGGAAGTCCCGTGAGAGTGATGGAGGCTCGGTAAACCAAAGCGACCCCCCCTCCCCTCCCCTCCGGCCGTGAACAGTCTACTGCTTGATTATCAACAGCTTTCTAAGCAGTTTAAATAAAAACGCATAAAATACAGTTTAAACCCTTATAAAAACAATATAAAAAATACATTAAAGTGTTACAAAAACAGGAAAGCAAAGCAGTGCAATTATATGGCAAGGAAAGCCTGAGTGAATTGGTACCTCTTCAGGAGGTGCATATACCTATGTTCTTCAGGATATTTCGTTTCTCTTCCAACAGTCAGCATTCGTGGGAAAGAGAAGACACAGACAACCTTCCACAGTGTTTATCTTATCTTACTACTAGGGTGGGTGTGGACTTAAGAGCAAGCTGTGGGCTGCCTCTTTTGCAAGAGATGGTGTGGCTGTGAACACGAGTTGCTGAGGAGCTTGGGTGAGTGGAGGTCTTGCATCCATCCTGCCTAAGGGATCATATGGACAGCTGGTTTAGCACCATTTGTACAGGGTGCTGGACTAGATGGACCTTTTGTCCAGTGTGACTTTTGTAATGTTCTTAAACAATTTATTTTTTTCCAACTGGACCTGGACTATGGAATTGCCTGACCTATGGTATAACACATAATGCCACCCATGTGTATGTTTAACTTAAGTAAAAGGAACTCATCCCAAGGAGACTGCAATCAAACATTTTAACAAATTAGGAGGTATATAAAGGGTAGGTTGGGAAAGACAAATATACCTGAAGAGGGAGGGGTAGTCCTATAGAAAATGCATAGAAAGGGAGAATATATACTCCCTCTCACAAAAAAGCTGTTCTAAATCATACTAAGTTCTTACTGGGTTGCTTTTTGCCTGTCTCCACACTTTTAAGGTGTTTTTTTTTTTTAATTCAAGTCTTGTATGAGCTGCCTTCATGGCTTGCCCCTTTGCTTCTGCCCCACCCCCATAAAAGTAGGGGGAGGCTTTCTTTAAAAAAAAAAGAACAAATTCGCAAATACTTTTAGGTCAAGTTGCAACCTAACTCTTTCTGCCTGTTACCTTGTCTATAAACTGCCACTAATCTTAATGGGGCATAAAGTCCTCGAAGGATTTATTTGCAACATTTACTTGAGCGTAAATCCTACAGTAATGTGACTTTTCCAGAAAAAAATGAATTGGTTAATTTCCATAGGGCAATTTTATTTTTATTTATTTATTTATTCTGTAAACTTCTATGTCGCCCCATTCGCCGAAGCCTCATTTCAATTTTCATTAGAACATTTTCAATCTGGAGAACTTTC